CGTGATGACCTTATCATCACTGGGAATCGATAAGCTAAATAGTCCTTACTTTCATAACACCGTATACCATCTGCCGATCTTATATTCACCAATGAATTTTACAAAATCACATAGATTAAAATGGAAAAAATTTCAAAACCTAAAGACTTTTATATTTCGGAAAAGTGTAAAAATTCAGAGAAATTTATTTTTGTTAATTATTATGCTAACCGCCTTTGTTTCGCCGGTGATTTCTGGTCCGGCAAAAATTACGCTGTTCCAAGGGAGGAAAAAAGGCGAGCTATTCACGAAACAGTGCCGAGCAGGGATGCAGCTAAAGAATCCCGTGCATTTTACGTGTGCCTGCATCACTGGAGTGTAAGATAAGCGAGATGAGGTGAAGATAAGCATCATCATCACTTATCAATCATCATGGAATTGTGTAATGAATAGGTGGGGGTTTTATACGGAATATTGCACCGAACCTGTCGCCATTGCGGGCGGGGATAACTTTTGCTTCAAGATGAGGAACGATTCCGTAAGAAAAATGGCCTTATTCAAATATTGAAGTTGCAAAATTTTGAGACGACAAATTCTTAAATTCGGAAATATTCCGAAATTGGGTTATATAAATTATGCAGATTTTAAGAAATAGTTTTGCAAGTTAAATGCGAAATTCTTAATGTTGCATATATAAAAAATCGTATTCGAATAAGTGAAGTGCCGTTACAAAAAAGTAGAGAAGATGTAAATTAAAAAATTATTTATTGTACTTCTTCGAATTTAGATACAAAATATTCAATGTTAATATTTTAATAATCCTCAAGTTAAGAAATGAGAAATAAGGATTGGAAATTATTGTGCGTACTTTCTTGCAAAAAGTAGTTTTTAAAGCATTTGATTAGTTGCATAAATAATCAAATTCGACCGTTCAGTTTTTTTGTCAACTTAATTCACACAATTTTTGCAAATTCACTTCCTTTCATACCTAGATTTCGCAACTTATACCTCTCGGAAATCCGGACTATCCCTTTGAGCCGAGCTTATCCATTTTGACGCCACACTTTACCCACCTTCTGGCCTGGTTTCGGTCCGACTCGCCCGTTGTCTTCCCCCCGTCGTCCTCATTCGTCACCGTGACGGACACGCCATGGACGCTGCACAGTGAGCGGGGGGACACCCTTTGTCTCAAAGCGGTCAAAGGACAACAACTTCCAGCGACGCCATTGTCGTCACCTCGGCGAATCTTCTGTCTTTTTGACACGCTGGACGGGAAGAGAGCGGGTTGGGGAGGGGTCGTGGGTGTGACCAGAGGTTGCGCCCCCACCACCGTCGTCCTCAGGGCGGACAACTGCGGAAATATCAAACCTCCCAATGGTACGAAAAACACAAAAAGATTGAATTTCAAAAACATTAAACCTTGAAATTTTTGGAAAATTCAACGAAACTACCAATTTATTTATACTTATTTTATAATTCCAATGGTTAAATCAGATAAAATGAAAGTAACTTTACCAAAATTATTCTCATTCATATTATTTATGAAATGTAAACCAAAAACAGTTCAAAGGTACGCTTAGAAAAATTCATTTAATTTTCAATTAAAAAATGACAGTTTTTGTGCACTTTAAACGTCAAATAAATATGTGTATTACATTTTCCAAATAATTGTAAGTTTATAAAGATCGATAGGCGCAATTTTTTGTACACATATCTGGTGCTGGAGTTTATCTTGAAGACGAGATTGTTATCTATTTCAGATTTTGCAGACTGTAATTTTGACAAGTTTGACAAGTTTGAAGACTCCAAGCTCCTCAGTGATTATGATGACAACGTTGGAGGGGGAGAAGGCAATTTGAGTGAGGAGAACGTCACGCCAGACGACACGAATGCGACAACGCCAACGTCTGACCTCGACGACAATAAAATCTACATCGACTTGGATGACGACGACGAAGATGTCAGTTCAACAACGTCGACAACGACTCAGGAGGAGGAAGACGTCACCCCAGAAACTACGCCCACTCCGGAAAACAAAATCTACATCGATCTGAATGAACAAGATGACGATGAAACTGTCACTTCAACAACTCAACCCCCGCCAACACTGCATCCCACGAGGACAACGACAACCAGGACGAGAAACAAGATTTACATAGATCTGGACAACAAGAGGAAACCGTCAAAGGAAAAAATTTATATCGATCTTGTCCACAAAAGGAAACCAAAGAAGGACAAAATTTACATAGATCTTCGCGCAACGACGACGACGCCAAGAACGACGACCCCCCGGTCAAAGCCACCGATTTGGATTCCCGTCAAACCAAAGCGTTACACAACAACGACGACTAAACCAAAAATTGCCACCACAACCACCCACCCGCCTGTAGAGGAAGAGTGGATCCCCGTAAAACCAAAACTCTACACGACGACTCCGAAATCGGCACGACCACATCTTTCCGGCTGGATCCCTGTAAAACCGAAACATTCCAAAAGTCCGAGAAATCAGAATACCACCGGCCCAGCAGTCTGGATCCCGATTAAACCCAAGAAAAAGCTCCCTGCGACTACGACACCCAGTCCGAAACCGGGCACCCCACTCCCAGCAGAGGCCTGGATCCCGATCAAACCCAAGAAAAAACTTACCACAACTACAACACCGACTCCAAAACTGCCACGCCCGGAAGTTTGGATTCCGATAAAACCGAGAAAATACTCGCTTAAGACGACGACATCAACTCCAAAACCGGAGTCATCTTCGGAAGAAGAGGAAGAAGAATGGATTCCGATTGTCAGAGTCCCGATGACCACGACGCCAGACCAGAAAGACGTCGAGGAGGGAACTACGCCCCCACCGGAGGAGGACTCCTGCACCCCCAACGGCCCCAACGGCCCCCTCACACGCCACACGGTGCAAAAATTCTGGCTCTCTCCGGAAAATAACCAATGCTCGAGATCTCTCACGGAAGCCATCTTCACAGACCAGCTCAGACGCTATACGGTCAAGCAGTTCGACCTTATTTTTCAAGAAAGGTACGCTATTGACAATTGTTGCTTAACTATTCTACATGTTTTTTCGAACAAATGGAATTTTGTTTTTGAATTTATATACACTGCTACAATTTTACATGTAAAGAAGTTGAAATACAGAGAAATTAATTTTTAGCTTTCAATTACAAAATAATAATTTATTTCGCAAACTAAATTATTATTTACATAAATTATTATTCCCAAAAATTAACGTTTGCTGGAAAATATGTCTGCGATTTTTCATATAAATATCTGCTAATGACTCAATTATCAATTAACCCATAATTAATTCCAGATTAAAATCTCTCCACCAAATGAACAAGTTGCTGAACCTCACGAAGGAAATAATGCTCCGAACTTGTTCCCAACTTTACGTTCCGATCTCCTTTTTCGCCACGAGTTTCGACGCCTTCGCGACCTTCACGAGGGAGGATTTCTTCTACGGCGTGTCCCCCCCGGAACCCGAAGTCTATCCCAGAATAGTCTCCGCTCTGGGAAAATGCCTCGCCAGAGCAGAACCACACGCTTTCGAACATCTCGTCGAGAAAAGAGGTGAAGAAGAAGACGACAACGACTGTGAAAGCCCCATTAAAAAGGTGCATGGGCTTATCAATGATAATGTGTAAGTGTGCTTATCATAACTTATTCTCTTATCGTTGCAGATAAATGGGTATCAGATTCTACCTGGGAGAAAGGTTCTCCTTAAAATTCCTGAGGAGCAGGGACACAAAAACTATGAGATTTTGATCGAGACGAGGCGATGATTGAGGTTGAGTTTGAATTTATTTTTTATTTTGTGGAAATTTTTAATTGTTTTTAACAGTTGGAAAATGTTTCTGAATACGCATTCATATTGTTGGCAAGATTTCAAATTCACGAACGACCACCACCACTTTGCCGTCCTGATGATGGAACTGTTTACAAAATCGATTTGGGAAAAGTGGTAAGTTTCCTGGAATTGGATAAGCCATGAGCCATGGTCTTTTTTATATGAGACTTGCACCATGCACCAGTTCCAAGTAATGATTGGGTAGGAAGAAAATTGAGACGCAGTTATTTGCCATACATGTAAGCAGTGAAAATGAGGCAAGTTGAGACATGTGTGTAAAGACCGAAACTTCGACGACCTCACTACCTTGATTGATAGCCTAATTTGATAAGCCTTGATAAGGTCATGAAGTCCGTAATTCATACTTATTTCCAGTGGGCGAAATTTCGAAATGTTAAATATAATCGCAAGCATAACTTGTAGCCAGATTGTCAATAGGAATGAGAGGAGGCAAATTGAGACAATTCCTTAATTAAGCCCACAAGTAATGATAGGGTCTTATCTTGTCTCTCCACAGGATAGAACCCTCCCCCTCACTCCTCCCCCTTTACAGCTTTATCCTCCCCAATTTCGCCTACATTTCTGACATCCAGACAAATGTGGATTTTTGTGTCGCTGCGACCGGGACCATTTCTTCGTGCCCAGTTTGGTTGGACCGGACTTCGGCGACGTCCACTGATAAGCGCTCGCCTTATCAGCCTGCTTCCAGGTGGGCCAAGCAGCTATCAATTTTACTTTTATTTCTTACAAAAAAGAACTTATTTTATCAATTAATTTGTTCTGCAGGAAAAAACGGTCTGGCACAATTTGGGTCGATTCGACTGACCCTGGTCAATCGCTAAAGTCATCGTCTCCATCGATGAGGACCACGTCGAATAACAAAATTGACAATGCTCACGACACTTTGGGGGGCCAGGCGTACTGTTTGCACGATTTCACCGACCAAGAAGACAAGCTCGACAAGCCAAAGTGTTCTCCAGTAGAAGAAGGAGAGCGTTAAATAAAAATTATATTCAAAATGATAACCACTTATCAATTTATTTACTATTAAAAATGTAAATGTAAAATGCGTTTAATTGCAATAGAAGAAGAATATTTTACATGCAATATTGCATTGCAGTTCGATTCAGCCACAGATTAGAATTCAGCGAAACTTTTGGCACAAAATCTAAACTCGAATACCGGCTGATTTTTGTGCCCAGCCAATATTTTTGTTAACTTATTAACTTGAATTAAAATAAGTTACTGTTGATAATAAAATTAACTAGTCAGTTGATTGATAACTTCTTATCGGGGTTATCTCGAAATCTTCATACCAAAGAAAACTAAAACTCAGCCTGATCATATTGCAAATTTCAAGGTTAGCAAAGTAAAACTGTCATTTGATTTGTTCTTCCTTGTTCGTTATCAAGTCTAATATTCATTGTGAGTTATTTATCTGTAATCTGTGCAACTAATTTAATTCAACATAATTAAATACCTCTTAATTAATTCAACAATTCTTAATATATCTTCCAGCTCATCAATCCCAAATTTTGATTCACAATGAACGATCCAATTCTGGAAGCTCTCAACTTTGCACTCGAAACTGACCTGCATGTGGACGAGGTTCGTGTCATCCCCTCCACTTCGGACCCTTTGTACTCACGCAGACCTTTGTCGAAACCCAAAAATTCGAAAAAGATTCTTCCATCGAACCTCGTTCTGGGCGAGACCGCCACAACGCCCTGTCTTTTCTCTGGCTGTGATGACCCCACGATAAGCAGTTGTTGTCTTGCTGATAAGCCAGCGAAGGACACCTTCCTCGCTCACCTCCTCACCCAACACCACTTTGTTATCGATGATGTCGACAAAATTGCCAATTTGCACAAGTAAATTACCCAATTAATTTTATACTTATTCTGTGTCGATTTAAGCGCTTATCTCGATTCTTATCATCTTTAAAGATACATACTTTACTGGAGAAGTAAATTCGAATCGGGTCAAGTTTCCGATTTCTGTGTGGGATTCATCATGGACGATTTACCTTCACCTCCAGAAGCTCCGAGACCTCGAAAACGGAAATCGACTCCGCTCGGCCAAGAAGATGCATCCATAGCTGATCAAGATGACCCACCTCCGCCTCCATCCGCTGATATAGCCTTATCGCCATCTGATAAGCCGACCTATTTCATGTTAACCCCCGCGCTCCCGGAAGACAAGCAGTTACGCAACAAATTATGGAATTCTCGCATAGTAAGTACACAAAATAATCAATTAATTAAAATTACCAATTAACTCGTAACTAATTTAATTAAGGAAACCGTGCTGGAAGTGAATCGTCAAGAACGAGAGCAGACAGATTTTTCCCGTCAGTGTTTCTTCTGTCGGGAAATCTTCACCGGAAATCGTTCCGCACTTTTCGCCCATATGACGACCGATCACAGCTTTAGGATCGGCAAACCAGATAATGCCATCTTCGTTGAGGAGTTCCTCGAACTTATTGCCACCAAGCTCAACAAGTAATTGACAGACATGTGTTTATCTTAACGTTATTTTATCTTGGATTTTATTAATTTACTTAATCCCATGTAATAGCCTCATTTGCCTCCAGTGCGAAAAAGTCTTCAAGGACAAGACCATTTTGAGAGACCACATGCGCAAAAAGGGTCACAAACGGCTCAATTCTAACAACCCAGAGTATAATCGGTACTACATTATCAACTATTTGGAGCCTGGAAAAGACTGGAAAATGTTGGAAGTATGGACATCAATTAAATTTTGAGTTATGCTAACAATCGAGGTCTCCCAGCGCATGCTCTCGGATTTTGACCAAATTAGTGTCAATCGATCACAAGCTTAATTAATATCACATTTGCAAATGACACGATCTCCCACTGCTCACTTTTGGCGGAGAGATTTGCATCCGACGAGTAGAAAATGCGTAGGCAATTTGGAAAGTGAAGGAGAGCTGGGAGACCTCCATTAATTGTAACATAATTAACTATGTACCAATTTGTGAAGGAGGAAGACCCAGAGGACGAACGGACCGAGGAGGACTGGACTGAAGCCGCAGAGGAGACTGAAAACATCGTCTGTCTCCTTTGCTCTGAACAGGCTCCGAATTTCGACCAGATTCTGAGCCATATGAAAACCTCCCACGGCATGGATTTTACCCAGATTACAGAAAACCTTGATTTTTATCAGAAAGTAAGAGTTCTTTTTTTAAAATTTCCTATATAGCTGCTACGTTTTCTAATTGTTGATTAACTAGCAATTGAATGTGTGTACAGGTCAAGGTGGTCAATTTTATCAGGAGAACAGTCTTTCTCTTCGTGTGTTTCTACTGTGAGAAAAAGTTTCTCGAAAAGACTTCACTCGTTGAGCACATTGGACAACATTTTCACAAATGTGAGGAATTTCCTCCAGAAAAAGTTTGGAATCAGCCAGAGTACGACATTTTCAATAATTTTTTGGTTAAAATAAAAAATTGGTAATAAAAACCACCTATATTTCTCCAGGTACTATTTCCCCACATATGAAAACGACCAATTTCTCGTCCTCCTCGATAACAAGGATATGGAATTGGGCAATGACTGTGACGATGACAAGCAACGACAAGAAGATGCTTCCAACTCATTATCGGTACGAATTGATATTGATCAAAATTTACATGCAAAATTCCTAATAATAATTTCATAATTTTAGGAACAAAATCAAAGCCGAATCGTAATTCCGGAAGATTTGCCAAAAATATCGAGATCACCGTATCTCCCAACTGCAGAAGAATTACGGATGGACGACACCTTTCCTGAGGCTGATTACCCATTAGATTTAAAACGCTCATGATAAAAATACAAAATTAAGCAAATATATCGATTGGGAGAAGTAGAAATAAATCTTGTTCTTTTTCATACGAGGGATAAATATGCGTATTAGTGATTATCGATCAAACTCGAGATTTGTTTAGCACCCTTTTGACTTGCCAGTTTCTTATCCAGGATGGACGACGGAGGCGAACAGCCCTTAACAAAACCGGGACAGGAAGACGACAAGAAATATCCACTTGTTCGCGTGAGTGATAGAAAATCTAATCATTATCTCTTATCAAGGTATTTTCAATGTGGCTTATCTTATTAGATGTCCGACCTGCCCGAAGAAACTCAACCCGAAATAATCGAGATGCTAACGTCCCTCATCGAACGATACTCGAAAGATATCCAGCTCGCTTGTAAAATGGCGAAGGAGCAGATGGACCGAGTGTACGGCCCCCACTGGAGCATCATCATTGGAGAAGCGTTCGGATTTGACGTCACTTTTCTGAAGCGACACATGCTGTACATGTACTTCATGGGAAATTTGGGGATACTCGTGTGGAAAAATTCATAATCTTATCCATTCCAACCATAATCTTTCGATAAGCTTAACAATCTCATTATTGTGGTACAAATCAGAGGTAGAAAATAAAGGCGTTCGAATTACAAAAAAGTTATGTTTGTATTGTCATTCAATTTATTTTTCTGTTCATAATTTGATTTTAAAGATTTCTCGCCTGGATTTCAACAACTCGTTGAATACGAATTTCTTCAATGACACGAAGGGTGTTCTCCCTCTGCAGAAAGTAGCGAGTGAAATTAAAGTTAATGTCAAGGAATACATCAATAATTTGTTAATAGCGCATAATAGGTAAAGGTTATTCCGGCGTTGGTGAATTGCTGCAATAACAAAATTCACAAAATCAGCAAGAATGTTTTCAAAATTTCCAAAAATTCTGCATACATAATCACAAACCTGCTAAAACCCTCTCAGCTTGAAAGATTGAAGCCGCGACGACCCAGGCAACATGATAACCTTGTCCAAATTTGAAACTTCAGGGTACTTATTTCACGTCGCCACCCGCTGCGGGTGGGAAAGCGGTTCAGGTATTTCGGATGCACACACACATGCCGAAAGTTCCGTACTTCAATGTCCCGGACGTGGACAAAGATCCAGAAGCCGACAAGGTAACCGTGATTTGGTTGAAGAAAAATGGGCGAGAATCGATGGGTTCTAGGGTGCGATAATTGTCGTGCTAGTCTTCGTCACACGCCGGCTTGGCAGATAAGTACATGCAATTCCCTTTTAAAGTTTATCGCAACTTCCCCAGTAATTGTTTTTTAGATCGTAAAGAAAGGACGGATGCAAAGTAGTTGTTTTTTGAAATTTTTTGCTCCTCTTCTGTTCTTCAGTGAACGTATGTATAGTGTTCCGAAGGAAATGCATTTGATAACATCAAAGATAATAATTTTGGCGAAAGTAGTGTCAGCTCTGCCTGGTTCATGAATGATGAGGAAATATTTACATAATTATTATTTGTATTAATTATTAAAACTCTCTCTTGTCGCCCGTGGTCTTCTTGTGGACACATTCACAAGCATTGTTTTGCGCTTCCAGGAACGCTTTACATCCCATCGCGGTGGTTCCAGTGTAAAGCAATTTCGCCCCCACTTGACATCCTGTTGTCGTCGTTAAATAAAATTATGATCTGACATTTTAATCACCAATTCATTACGGTTAATATAAATTATCTTCACCTTTATACTTTAAATGGGTCACCGAATCCCGAACCGACCTGCACTCCGAGTACAAACATTTCTTAAAACGGAGGTCACATTCATCCCTGTCTGTCCCACAAGTCTCGTAACAAACGTCATGAGCGTTACAGCACGACACGAATTCGTCCATGGGAAGATAATCTCCTCTTAAATAGTCCTAAATACATTCAAAACAAATAGTTAATTGATACGTTATTTTGAGTGGGAACAAACAATTTATTGATAGATTTTCGATCTTCTTGATCCCTCTTCAAGTCAATTAATTAACCACATAAATAATTAACTTTTCCAAATTGTACTTGTTTCGCCAAAACGAATTCCCATTTGACAAACAATTAAGTAATTAATTACCTCAATCCCATATGATCCGCACCCATTCGAACTTGCGACGTGACCCTTCCTCTCTTTCATCACGGTTCCTGGGGGGCACTGAAAGTAGCAATCTTCGTCCACCGTGGCGTCTAAAAATTCCTCCGCCGTTCTTATATGTCGTGACAAACGTTCCACCCCACTCCCCATTTCCGTCGCCAGGTTGGCCATCTGCCCCAAGTAGTAGCGCATCTGGTCCATCACACCACCTCCTTCTTCTTCATCGCCACGACCGGAAGTCATGACACTGGCGAGACAGGGGACGCCAAAGAGAAGAAAAATAGTCACTCCTACTCCGCGACGACTAGGCATTATTCTGGGTGAGCAGTATCCTCTCAAAAGGTTTGTAACTTCAAAATTTCAAGAAAATTATTATTATTTATTTACTGCCTCTGTGAAAGGATGCACCAACGAACAGATGATGTGCGTTAGTTTTGCCACTGATCCAAGTCAAATCTCGTCACGTGTCTCATTTTGCTGCATTGAATTGTATGCAAGTGATTGATATGTTATCATTTTGATAACATCATAGAATTCATAACATGATACAATGACAGTTTGTTACAGGACCAATAAAATTTGATGCAACTCGAATTTCCAAAAATTATATTGCTTTTATTTATTTGCACTGTTATTCTTATTATTCTCACTAAATTCGGACTGATACAAGAGATTCATAATTTCAATTTGCATCAAGATGGCTTTATCGCGAGGCATTTTCTTGAGCTGTGCTGCAATCGAGAGGCAGAAGAGGTCATAAGGGTCAGTCATATGAGGGATGGATGCCAGCGAATGCGGATGGACTGATGGGTGACCATTTCCGATCGGAGTCATCGCGTCATCTTCTTGGTCGTGGTCGTCATCTTCAACTTCGATGACCTGCTGAGGGTGGACTTTCTTTGTCCGTTTGATCAGATAAGGTCTAGATGATGATGGGTCCGGATCTGATGTGGTCAGGATTCTCTTTTGTCCCGTCGCAAAAGAGCTCATCGGAGGAGCATCTTCCAATTGTTGTTGTGGTGGTGATCGAGTAGTTAAAGACGAGGATAATCTTGGCATAACAATCGCCCTATCAGCAGCCGATTTCTGGTTTGGTGGAGGACGTCGACGGTGGTGTGACGCGGCTGGGCGGAGCTCAATTGTTGTACTACCATGCAAGTGGATACGATTGGAAGAACGACGAGTATTTGGTTGCATTACGTCGTCGTCTTCGTCGTCATCTTCAATTTCTTGGCTTATCTCGACTTGTGGTTGGACAAAGCTATAATTTTCATCATCGTCATCATCACTATTTTGTGCTTGTTCATTGTCATGATTAATTTCGAGTTTTTGGTCGAGATACATGGCGTTGCTATCTTCTTCGACATGTTCACCACCATCACCAGAATTGATCATTTCCGGCTCGAAAGAGTCGTCTTCTTTTTGATAAAGGAAGTAGCCAGATGTATCTTCTTCCTGGTGGACAGAATCGGTAGCATTTCTACCAAAAAATGGTCACAAATTAGTACTTATCATGATGAATTAGTATCGAAATGTATGTATTAGTCCTACGGTGGGTAATAATCGAGCTGGTCATGACCGTAAATCACATTGAGGAAGCTTAATTCGTCATAATAAATCCACGGCCGGAATGAAGCACCGAAATTGGAACGAAGTCGTTTCTTCCTTTTGACGAAATAATCGCGAAGACTGATCCATTTTTTTAGGCACCATTTCTCTATAAAATTTCATACAGATAAATTTTCTAAAAAAATGTAAATGCAAAATTTAAATGTCGTATTTTTCATACCGCTTTTTCCAAACTCTTTTGAAATCTCGGCCCAAGCTTTTTGCTTGATAGCAACGTTTCGAAAGTGTTCGTGATCCTGGTTGTACAAAACGGGCATGGATTTAACTCGGTGGATGAATTTGATAACTGTTAATCAAATTGGATCAATTAATACACACATTTAAATAGTTTTGAATTAATTAAAATTTCACCTGTATCCGGGCTCAGATTGAAATCATCTTGAGTGGAGGTTGACTCGTGCTCATCTGGAGAAAATGACATCGTGACATCCGTTTACTGTAAAAATTGCCAAATACAAGAATTGCAATAATTAACTAAATTTACAACCGATTTTCTTATTTCGTCTGAAAAGTTTAATACATTATGCATAAAGGTTTAATAAGCAAATTTGAAAGTTTCAAAACTTGAGCAATTAATTAATTAAATTACAATTGTTGAATTACATTATGTAATTACATATTGTATTGCTTTATTAGAAGAAAAGAAAACCTGTCGTCTTCAAGTCGGCGGCAACGACTGACGTGTCCAAGTCGTCTCACGTCAACGTCAAATTCCATTATTCACTCATTGGCGAATATCGCGAGTAGCCCATCGCGAAAAACCGGGGAAGAAAAACATTCACAGTCATTCCAATCGATTTTAATTTTGCAATTCATAATTTCTCTTCCTCAATAAAATCTTTAATTGGATTGGATACGTATTGGATATTTAAAACAAGATTAAATTATAAGAAGCTTAATCTCGTCAAATCCAAATAATCCAATCCCCCGTCGTCCGTCGTGGTCGTACGTAAGTATTTATGATTTACTAATTTTATTTAGTAATGAAAAATGAAACCATTGCTGAACTCGTCGTCGTCACTCGTTAATATTTCAGGTAACTAATTAACACCTTATCAATCATGGCCACCATGATCGCCTGCATATTTGCGCCTCGTCTCTACCGCATGTATTTACGATCAAGTCTTGACGGCAGTGTAAGTACTTAATTCACTCCTTATTTTTTATCATGTTTACTTACTTATCTATGGCCTTATCTAATTTATTAGAGTCAAATCTACTCGACGAATTTGGCTGAACAGTGTGGCGACTTTGCGATCAGCTATCTATTTCCAGCAGGCATGGTTTATTCCGTGTGGCACCGCAAACTTCAGTACATCCTCTACTTATCACTCTTTCTCGCGTCGTCATACGCCATCCGGGCTACGGGACGATACTTCAACCCGACGTTCTTAACGTTTCTTCAGGTATTTCGGAGAGCAAGGACAGAGCCAAACACAGAGAACATGGAAGCCCTGCGACGATACGATTTCGAGTTCAAGGGCTGGCCTGTTGGTTTCACCTCCACAAAATTATCCCGACTCGCCCGACAAGACTTGGTCGCCTCAGAACGTGGAAATGCCGTCAAGAAGTACACACCTTGCTGGTTGCTCGGTTGGGTGGTGGCGCACACGTTTGGAATCCGACTCATCTATCCGGGACTGTTGGTGGGGCCGATGCTACGCACTTATCTTGAGGTTGGTAATTAATTTTTACTTGATGGATAACCATTTTCCACAATTTAACACAAGTATGCATTGTAGGACGCCCGGGGAAAACTCGTCCTCTTGCAGAAAGGTGTGCGCACCAAAATCGTGTCCTCTGACGGCTATTATCTGGACGCAATGTTTTTTGACAGGCGAAGGTAATTACTAATGCACATTTAGTTATTGATAATCAATTATGGTTGTGGTTCAATCTTTAAACTTATACTCAACACTTACCCACACTGCTTATCGTCAGGATTCCGGCGGAAAGAACGAATTTTGTCTCGATCATGAAGTACGAAATATTATCTGCTTGAGCATGACATAAATATTTATTCCAGACATGATTTCAAATTAGTTTTAGTCCTCAATTTTCATATGGCTTATTAATTTGTGTCGTAATAATCACGCAGGGAGGCAAACACGACGATTGGAAAGACGTTAGTCATCTGCTGTGAAGGAAACGCCGGCTTCTACGAGATTGGAATGGCAGGGACCCCAATTGCCGAAGGGTATTCTGTTTTAGGGTGGAATCACCCTGGATTTGGGGGGTCATCGGTACGTTGGCTTTTCACACGCTTCGTTATGCGAAATTTGACCCTTATTATACATTTTCTTATTTCTCTAGGGAACCCCTTACCCACTCTACGAACTAAACGCTGCTGAAGCAGTGTTCGAGTATGCCACCAAAGAATTGGGGTTCAGGGAAGAGGACATTGTACTCTACGGCTGGAGCATCGGCGGCTTTCCGGCCACCTATCTTGCCGCCCAACATCCCAATGTGAAGGGCCTGGTGGGTCCAGAATTTTCCACTTTTCATAATTATCCGTAATTAATAAAAAGAGTTTTTTACAATTATCATTTGGCTTCACAGGTGCTCGATGCCACTTTTGACGATCTCCTGCCCCTCGCACTTCCTCGAATGCCTGCATTTCTCTCAACTGTGGGTTAGTTGAGTTAACCTTATCACCATATTAATCAGTGTCATTCATTGACATTCACGCATTTTTGGTCATAGTTCGTGCCACGATCCGGTACCATGTCGATCTCCGGGTCAGCAAGGAGATGAGATCGTACGCCGGTCCGGTCCGGCTTATACGACGAACGGAGGACGAGATCATTGCCGATCCCCCCTCATCCCTCCCCGCCAACCGGGGGAATTATCTCCTGATGGACATCCTCCGCCAGAGGTACCCCTTCCTCCTGGACAATGAAGAGTCAGAGCGAGCCCTTCGCGGGTGGTTGAACCAGCCACATGTCAAGGACGTCTCCACCCGTGCGGCTCTGGAACGTAGCGAAGTTTCCATTCCAGAAAAGACAGAGAATTTGAGTAGTCTAGAGAAAGCCACGCTAATTTTGCAAATTGTGAGTTTATTTAAACTGTCTTCTAAAATTTCATGTGTCAATTTATCAAATTTTGCTTCTTTTTTAAGGCCGAGAAGATCTTGACCGATTTCAAATCTACCCACTGCACTCCTCTTCCGGGAGACCTTTTCATCCTCCCGTGGTCCGGAGAGTCCCGCCCGAGAGGCTCGTCGTCGTCGACTAAATAGAATTAATTGCGTACAATTAGCGAATTTTTGCCCAGCCCAACCAATTATTGATATTTTTACTACTAAATCCTATCTGTGAAAACTCTTCGTAAGTTTATTCGCAGTGCGAAAATTATAGAATTAATTAGGAAATTGATCGAGAAAATGTTTAATCTTAATCCATGTACTGTTTAAAGGACATTTTCGTGTAGGTACTCTTTCGATGAGCCAAATGTGCACATATGTATGAGAAGTAAGTTTATTTAATTTATATGTGTTCCTAATCCATGCAAAATCCAAAGTCAGTCACAAACTTGAAAAAAGTTATGATAAACTAATTTACTGAGCCGTTTAATTAAGTCATAGTTAATTTGTGTATTTGTGAGTCGTGATTAATTCCTACATAATTATAATTATTACCAATTATTGATTACACTAATTAATCGACCCCATAATTTTAACGAGTATAACAAAAAGTAGGGAATAAGTACGTAATTAATTTCATGTAAAAAAAAGTGCACCGTTTTGTCTCTCGAAGAATTAAACAATTTTAACTTTAGGAATAATAAATTCTATCTTTATTGCGTTTTATTTATAGAAATAATTTCCTCATTTGTAAAATTTACATAATTAAATTACCTATGTATGTATCTAACTATTTAAAAATGAATAGTTATTTATCAAAAATTGTGAAAAAGTCGTGCGGTTGGTCACCAAGAACACTGGCACTGCGTTCACTCATGTCGTCCTCCTCATCTTTCACACCATTCTGAATAATCGTCCCCGTGTCGGCCGATGTTGATCTTTGACCCAAGTCGACAATGTCAACAACACACTTCTTTTCGCTTTCTTCACCCTTCTTTTTATACTTCAAGGGAATAATCACCACTGAATTCTTGCCCGCTTTACAATCCGGAAACCATCTCCCCAGCCGATTCTCCTTCCCCGTCCCGACGACCAAGAACTTGCCCTTTTTCTCCATCCCAGCCGCCGTCGTCTCCGTCCCGCTGGAAAACTCCATCGCATTCACCCAGCCCTCCACGTCCACCGTCACGCCCCCCACCAAGGATTTGAATCGCTCCCCGGCTCTCCAAAACCTCACAACTCCGTCACAACTGCCTGACGCGACGAGGTCCGTGTTCGTCCATGCCGTGAGAGCGCTCACCCAACGCGGAGTGTCAATTTCACACCCAGGAAACGACTTGTACGTGCCGTGTGCGTTTGTGGTGACGTGGAGAGGCTTCTTTCGGTTCACGTTCCACGTCGAAATGGTGCCATCGTCGCCGGCAGAGACGAAGTTTTCTTCATTGATAAGTTTCACGCAGTCAATGTTGCCATTGGGGTGGCCATTGTAGACGAGTTGAGACTCTTCCACGATCTTCCAGACGCGCACCGTGCCGTCCCGACCACCACCCGTGACGACGCGTTCTCGAGTGAGCGAGTCGATGCAGGTGACCTGTTGGTAAAAAACAAAGTTGACATCGATTTTGCCGTGAACACGATCATGGAGAGGTGCACTTACCGCATCCTGATGTCCAAATAGCGACTCGACATAACCCATCGCATCCAAATCCCAGATACGAACCGACCTATCGTCCGAACAGGAGTAGAGGGTGTGCTTCTTCTTACGGAAGGTGAGACCTCGAATCCCACCACGATGGCCTGTCGTCATATTTATTATAATTATTCACCTCATCATCTCAGCTTCTGCTTACTTGTGCTGAATGCTAAGTTACCCGTAAAGACGTGAATCCTCTTCAAATCGTCCGCCCCCCAAATGACGATTTTTCCATCGTGATCCCCACTCGCTAAGAATTTGCCGTCACTGGTCACAGCGAGGGCGGAAATGGCTGAAGTGTGGGTCGCATTTGGATCCGTATCCGGTTCAGAGTTTGACTTGTTGTTGGCCTTATTTTTCTTCTTCTGTTTCTTGCTGAGGACTTCTTTCCGTTTGATTAGGCCCACTTTCCGCTTCTCTAAGACGTCCCATTTGAATATGTGACCGTCCTTGGAACATGAAAATATGTAGCGATCATCCTCCGTGATGCAGAGGCACGTTACAGACCTGCGAGAATGCAAATTATTAGAGAAATTAGCTAAAGATTTCCTAATTGGAACAAATAAATGTCAAAATGTAGAAATTTCGAATAATCAATTCCTAAAAATTACGTACTGAAACCCCGAATAGAAAATTAATCTAATCTAATCTAAATTAATCTAAAATTAATCTAATTAAATATTCCCATTACAAAACTTTGAAGTCTAACCTCTTTAAATATTTTGAGCACGTCAGAACAGAGATATTTTCAAGGTCTGGCTCAATCTGGTCTGCAACTTCTCTCCGCAGGCGTCCCTCCGCTTCTAAAACGTCCTCCTTCAGTTTTGACGCGATGGCAGAAGTGTCGTCATCGTCGTCGTCGTCACCTCCGCCATCTTCGTCGTTGTGTTGCCTCCTCCTCTTCTCCTGCTTCTGAATCTCCTCCAGGTACAGTTTGGCGAGGCGGAGTTTCTTCTCTTGTGCAGTTTCACCCGTGTCGTCATAATTCTCGTCGTGAGAAAGGTCTTCATCGTCATCGGATCTGTATTCAGTTGATTCAATAATTAATCATCACGAATTAATTATTATTCACTAATTATGGCAACATTTAAACACGTACCGCTTTCCCTTGTGGTTAAGATTATCTTCCAAAACTTCTTCATCTTCGGAACTACTGCTCTCAATTTCTTCATCTTTATCAAACCGGGGTCGTTTTTCAGGCTCTTGAAGGAAGGTGCCTTTCTTTCGCTTTCCTCCTGTTCAAAATAGTAAAGGGTAAAGTAACATGTAACAAAGTAGACATGATAAGCTCTCATCCCGCCAGCTTACCTAAAGGTTTCTTTCTATTTGTCGGTCGTGGTTTATAATCCTTGTTTTTCAGTCGATTATTTCCATCCCCACCTCCGGCAGTTTTTGTGAGGTTAAGGTTTTTAGACTTTTTCCTGATAAAGAAGGACATGGTCACTCTGTTCAAAAAATGTCACTTATCACTGATCCTCTTCACCGCTTAAAACACTTTCCGAAGAAATATGAAAATGAAAAGTATTGAACACTTCACAAAATTCCAATCAATCTACTCTTCCTGCAAACTTAAATAACTTGTACACTGAAAGATAACACCAATGCTTGTCAACACGTGCAGATATAAATTATTTAAATTTCCGGATAGCTAGGGGCCCTAGATTATCGAAAAACTTATTTTTCCTAAAAATATTTACACGTGCGGTTCTCGCATGGTATTCAGAAGTTGGAGTAGTGCCGCGTTCCCAGTCACCCCGTACCCTAAGCCCATGCAGTTCATGCATTTGCAAAAATTTTGCATACTTTTCATGATAAATCTGGCTTATCTTTTATTATTCCTCAATGAATTATTTTAGTACAAAAATTAAATATATGATTGATTATTCTTCTTCCCTAAATTATCTGTCCCTATATAAATATCCATCTTTGTGTAAGAACAAAACTAAAATTATACAAAAATCACCTCGTTAAATCTTCATCTTTATCTTCATCCACGAAGAAAAAAATTATCTTCAATTGGTACCGTAATATTCAAACAATTTCCCATTTTCTTACATTAAAACTTTAAGCCAGGCGATAATTTTCGTCTGACAAGATGATAAAGAATTAAAATTATATCAAAATGCAAAATACAGCGTCAAACTTAAGCATTTAAATAGTTAAAATTGCCATACATGCGATGACTAACTGACTATATAATAGCATTACTTTAAAATTCAATTAACATTGAAATAACTGATAAGTCGGATAAGCCCTCATTCCGCGTGGACATTCCCCTTTAACGCGTTCACTAATGGATCCAAGGTCTTCTCCAGAGTTAAAAGGTATCCCGTGTTAGCAGAAATTGAGGCGATGAGAGTTATCACAATAGGAATCTTGCTAATTTGGATGACCTATGATTAATGACTAGTTATCATCAGCGCTTATCCAGGGTTATCACCAAATTACACTTACCTGCAATTTTTTATACATGGAAATAATCTTGGTGTTTTTCCCCATTCCCAATTTTCCTGCTTGGTCGGTCGCATTTCCGAAAGTGGATAAGAAATTCATTCGTGAGGCTAGTTCCGGCGTGGACTCCAAAACGACTATTTTTTAAAGAACAATTAGCATGACATAATTATTTTTTCGGACAATATGATAACTGCACTGATTTGTGTTACCTTTAATAATCGCAACACCATCTCGATCGCTTAAAATAATGGCGTAAAGTCCGTCAATACTGCGTAATCATTAATACAAAAGCATTCCATTTAAATTGAATTGAATACATTGAGTCATTGAATTAAGGCGTTTACTTAAATGAAATAATTACGTAATTATACTACTAACCTAGTTAAAATTTGCATGAGTGCTTTCCTCATTTCCTGCAACGCAACATGACATCATCATTAAAATTAAAGTACTCCTTAACAATTCCAGTTTAATCCAATTATAAATTAAATCAACAAACTACTAAACTACGACTTAAATTAAATCAAAATCAAATCAGTCTTACATCTGCTGGAGTCAACATCTTCACGTCCCCTCCGAATTTCGGTAAAGTTTATTAAGCAACAGATGGTACTTCCTCGTCCTCCTCGCTGATAAGTGGTTTATCTGAAATATTATCCGCTCTCTGTGCTGTTCACTATTATGTAATTCCAAAATATTTGTCTCGTGACTTTTGTAACAAAAATAACCTGTTTTGCTCACTCGGGCCAATTTGAGATTGTTGATGGTCAAAGTACAAACTTGAATCTGTTTCCACTCCAAAGTCCAACTGCTTTTTGCACATATAAAATCGCACGTTGCCAAAATATTTGCAATTTCTCAATTTTCTAAAATCTACTTTGTCGTAATTTTTGCACTATTTTCAACCCAAATGTTCCCACAGAGCTGTCTAGCATGTCATCACGCCCTATGATGGGTGGTATCGGAGCTCTGAAACCGGCTGACGAGACGGTCACGACGGTTATCAATTTGGTGAGGGAAACTTTGCTGGAAAAAATTTCTGGGGGAGGTCGTCGATCAGAATTGGAATTGTCGACGTTTTCGCCAAGTGCGCACTCCTACAAGACGCAGGTTGTGGCAGGGACGAATTTCTTTGTAAAGGTGGGTGACGCAACACTCTACTGTAGCTTTTCAGGTTAATAATCTGCATTTTATCTTTAATTGTGGTTATCTTCAACCAGGTCCAATTACAAGAAGGCGACTTTGTTCACGTCCGAATTTATCGTGACCTTCAAGGAAACGTTTCTCTGCACAGTGTTGCTGACGATAAGAAAGAAGACGACGAAATTCTCTACTTTTGATTTAAACCTTGCCAATTCATTCACCTACTAGCTTTTTCTTTTTAATTAAGTTTAAATTCAGTTAATTTAGATTTTATTCATATCAATTTACAGTAAAACATCTTCATAATTATAATGTCTCTCTTAACAAATAGTAGTAGATTAGTGACAAATTCCGTCGTTAAATTTCGACTTCATTTACGCCCCACCACATGTCGTAATCCCTCCCCAAATTACATCCAAAGTAAGAAAGGCTACAAGACGTTATCGACGCATCGTCACCTTCCCTTCAAAACTAGGACGCTACTATCTGCTCCTCCTACTTCCGGTTCAGTTCACTTTCACAGCCTGTCTAGTTTGTCGCAAAAGTTTAAAAACTTCCAAAACCAGGAAAAACTGTGGGTTCGATTTTTCTCAGCATCATCACGTAAGGTTCCCAGAATTGGTCGACGTATTATATGATAACGCATGTAAGTATGAACCTATCCAATTTGTAGTGCGGTTATCATCCAAAGATTCCAAGTTGTCAACTTCACCACAAGCGGATGCTGAATATCCGCTCGTCGTAGCAATCGGCTCTGTCTCCAAAGAGGTCACTCAGCCCAAAAATCCACTCTTTGTTCCCAACAAATATTGTGAGCATGTCAAAATTTGGTCCACATTTTCCAACTGTCTTATCTTGATATGCTGTGTTCATTTATTAGACGACCCTGCTACGACCTCCCAAACCGAACTGGGCCATTTGCAATGGATGCTGAAGAAGGATCTGCTCGGTCAAGACATGTTCCTCATTGGACCACCCGTAAATGAATTTACTTGAAAAAATGTTTGACAAATTTTGTCCGCATTACCGTGAATTTAGGATTTCAGTTACTTCATTTTAGCCAAAAACGATTTAGTAATCCTATCTGATCTTCTTCAGGGCCCGATGCGTCGCCGTCTCGCAATGGCCTTTGCAGAGCTAACGTCTCGTGAAATTGAATACATTTCGTTATCAAGAGATACCACCGAGTCGGATATGAAGCAGAGGAGAGAAGTCATTCTCAAAACGGCCACCTACATTGACCAGGTCAGCCTATAACTCCTCAATTATGTTACAACTATACTTCCAGCCCAATTTATTCATTAATTTATTGAACCTGGTCATAGTCCGCCGTGCGAGCCGCGACCGAAGGCCGTCTCCTCATTATTGAAGGGATTGAAAAAGCTGAACGAAACGTGCTTCCTCTCCTCAACAATTTGCTCGAAAATCGAGAAATGCATTTGGAAGATGGACGCCATCTCATTGCCGGAGATCGGTATGACAAACTTCTCAAGGTAAAATTGACAAGTTCTCTCCAAAATATGACTGAAAACTTTCTGAATCTCTCTCGAATATTTCAAAATATTGACAACAAATTCTAAGACAAAATTCCCCAAAAATTGAAATTTCTTCCTACAATAACATGCCAATTTTTGTCCATTTTTTTCAGGAGCACGGTCAAACTGTTCTGGACAAGTGGAAGTTGGTCAAAGTGGACGAGAACTTTCGCGTCATCGCGTTAGGCCTCCCCGTCCCATTCTTTAAAGGAAATCCACTCGATCCCCCGCTCCGATCCAGATTTCAAGGCAGGTCCATCGTCCCTTTGACCGCTGGGGTAAGTAAAAGAAATATGCACAAATTACGCAGTTTTCGTCACAAAAACCCTCACAAAAAATTAGTCATTTGCATAAAATAATCCCAACAAAGAAAGGGTTATTTCTTGCATGGCTCCTCCAGTTTACCGAACTGAGGGAGAAAACAAAAGAAGTTCAGTTCATGGCTGGACGACAGAAATTGTGACCACGTAGGAATTGACAAGGAGGCGGCGGGTGGTCGCCAGTAGTCTGGTCAGTTGTGGACACATTTGGTCAGTAAATATGTGGACACGAGCCACTAATAACACCCCAGGATCCATCCATCACCTCCCAATTTATTTATTTATACGCCACACATTGCATTACTTACTTATGAGATGACACAATAAGACAAACCTTACGTTGCCCATGTACAAATGCAGACGGAATTATTTAGCGAGCAGAATCTGCTTTTTCTTTTGTCACTGAAGTTGCTTGCGTGTCTTGTCTTGCTTTCTCTGCTCCGTTGCAAATTCCCTTGTCAACTCTGATGCGATTCGATATTGAATATGCAATCGACCCAACGCCTGGAATTTTACGATTTCTATCACACGTCGTCGAACGTAAACGGCGTCAAGTTTTGTCTAAAAATTGTATTTACATAATAACGCCATGTTTCCTGTCACACATTTTGCACTGAGGCTAAAAATGTGTGTTGGGAGAATGATCGAAACTGCATCAATTTCGGTCACCTACTTATTAGATACCTATATTTTTGGAAACTTTTAACTTTATACATTGGATTAGTTTTAGTGAAAGTTTGGGTTTTGTGTCTTACGGTTAGAGTTGTACAATGGGCAGGAGATGAAAATAAGTTCCCGGAATGGGAATTTGCGATAACATTGACCTTATGGGAGCACTTCGGTGCTGGATATGCCATCCGTACAACTCTGCTAACGTTGGTAGAATAGCGATGATGATTTTTTCCCTTTTGTGGCGTCCGATACTGTACGAGGGCGGAAGTGAAAGCATCGCAGCAGACACGCACATTCTCACATAAACTTCTCACTTTGCTCCCATGATTTATGCGTGATTATCCATATTCCTCCTCTCCTAGTCCAGATACATATTTACATAAATGATGATGATGGTCATGTCTTCATAGTTTTTTGATCGACTTGTGTCGTCTCTTCTTCTCCACCAGTTTGATATTTGTTTTGTCTTTTCCAAAAGGTGAATGAAATCCAGAGGTGAACTTTTGTCTTCTTTTTTCGCACATGGGATAAAATTAGGGTTGGTCCGTAGGCTAAAAATAAAACAAGAGGATGAAAGCAGCATGAATACAATAAGAAAGTGAAAGTCAGGATTTGCAGATTTTGTTTTGTTTCACCAAGTTCAATCACAACGGGTGGAATTTCTGGGCAGTGTCTGAATTAAAAGTGAAAGTTACCCCGTTGAGTCAATTCACGAATTCCTGACCACCTTTTTTTAATTGGAAATTTTCACTGCAGGTGAAAGTGGAGACAATTCCGAGAAATGTTTTTTCGTGATGGGAATTTTCACAATTTGTGGATTTGCATGGTAAATCTGGGCAAGTTGTAGCGTAAAATCTCATGAGAGTTGGTCTGGTTTTTGAGATATCATGTCCGACTTTGCCATCCACCCGGCCAGTGAGGAAGGAGTCGTTGTTCGTGTCGTGTGTCGTCTCACTTTCTCCCCAAACTTTCTCTCCGTTGGTGATTCTCACTTCTCGCTGTCTCTCTCTTGCATAAATTCTCACTTTTATCCGCATTTTCTCACAAAACTGGGCCCTATTTACCTAGTTGCCAATTTCTGCAAGATACATATTTACTCAATCGAATGGAAAAGCATTTTGTGCCAGATATCTACTTGCATCACTACTGACGAGCAAATAACCATACACAAATTGCACGCCAACCCGCTGTGACGTTGAGTTAGTTTCTTCACCTTGAATTTAGAAACACAATACCGTTTGTGAACCGGGTATTGTCCAAATCCCGCTGTTGGTCAAGCATATTATTCACTGCATATTATGTAAATGACACCATTTTCTACCTAAATCAAACCCATCCATCAAGAATCCAGCTAAGAAATGTGGGAATCTGCCAAAAAATCCGTCCGGATTCGTTCCATCCTCAACCGTGACGGATCTCGCCACTACCTCCTTAAAGAAACCGAACTAACCAAACGAGAAGAAAACGATGACCCAGAAATTACCAAAATTTCCAAAAAGAACAAACTCAAACTATCCGATTTCAAGTCGGATTCGATCCTCAGCAATGCTTCGGAACCTTCCATCTTCCTCCACAATACTCCGCAAGAGAATGATGTCAATCCCATTAACAGAGGAATTATGCAAATTTGCGGCAGTAACTTCGTCTTCTCCGGTTCCACCACGAAACGGCGACAATTTCAGAACGGCAAGTTAAAAATTCTATCAAACTCTTTCCTCCATTTGGATTCTGGAGAAAAATGGGCGAATTTCGAACTCACCCCGACTGACGAAGACAACAGCGAGGATTTGCTCAACCTCCTCCCCGTCAAGAGCCCCCTCATCAAGCGGCTTCTCCAACAAGACGAGTCCCCGTCCCCGTCGTCGGCATGGTCGAATGGAAAATCATCCCCAGAACATCTCCTCTGCTCCAGAATTATGACCTGGATTGATTTGGAGGTGCGGAGGTCGAAAGGATCAAAAATATCCCGCTCCCTCCCCACGGGGGTTTCCTCCGCCGATCTCAAACTGGTCAACGGTCTAATGACCCGTCACTCTACGCCGTCCTCCTCCTCCTCGTCCTCCGTAACGTCCACCCCGCTCCCTGGCCTCGTGACGACCAAGAGTCGACGCTCTAGTCTGAGCAGTAACTCCACCACGACGACGACCAGGACGACATCCCGGAGTACGTCGACTTCTTCAAGTGGAGAAGAGAACCACAAAATCTTTCCTGCCTTGTTGCCAAACCTGGTGAAAGATAAGGTCACGGTGGGAAGGTCCAAGGTCAAGAAGAGTGTCCGGATAGTGGACAACGTTGGTGGGGCAGATGGCAAAGTTAAGACGAAGACGGGTCAAGGGGTGATGAAAAGGAAGAAGATGGGAGGGATTATCCGCAATAATCCGGCCACTTCTGGGGTGGGTGAAGAAGTCACTTCCGGGGGGTCGGATGATCCCTGCGAGGTGAAGATCGACTCGAACTGCACTGTGTACCTCATGGGGGAGACCAAGTCGAGGCCGGTGTGCACGATCGAGGTGGCTGGAGGGGGAAACGGGGAAGGGGTGCCGAGTGGGGGGCAGAATGAAAATAAAGTCCAAATCCACATCTTCCTCCCCTTAACGACCATGGAAGAGTAAGTGGCAGACAAACGTCATACGTCGTCATTCTTACAACTTGTATCCGGTCCTAAGTAGTAACTTTGCATTTTGAACTTTGAATCAAAGGGTTGTATTTTCTGTCCTTATTCTTTTTATGCCTTATTATTCCGTAACATCAGAAGATCCCAAAATATTACACACACTTTTACTATGCATTTTTACACTATTTTGGAGAAGAAAAAGTATTTGAAACTATTTTTAGAACGAGATTCCTATCAGATTATTGATCATTTTCTTGGGTGTGAAATTCGTGTCTGATAATTTGACACAGTTTTTTTCTCGCAAAATTAAGACTGATTGATCAGGAAGACATGGGAATATTTCTTTGCCTCGATTCATTGCAATTTCATTTGAGAAGTAGGGATTCACTCCACTTTTCCTTCTTTATCATTCCTTCTTTAATCAAATCAAATCATTTTGCAAATCAAGTCAGCCTTCGCAAATCAGATATTTCGCACCTAGATATGTAATGGGTACAATATCGCACATGAAATCGGACCAATTTGCCAATCAGACAGGAGATATTTGTCTGACAACACATTGTTTTCTTGCTGCAGTGAAAATTACAAGAACGGATCTGTCGACTCAATTCCGCCCGGAAATCCATATTAGGATCTAATAATAACCAATTCCACTATAAAAATGGGATGGTAAGCAATTAATCAGAGACATATCGTGAAAAATTTGCAATTATCCGACTCGTATGAAAATTGACATGCTGAAAATTGGCACACTTTTTTGCAAAACTCTGCACAATTTTTGGTACTTGTATTCTTGTACTTGTATTCTGTACTTGTATTCTGTAGACGAAGAATGAGCCAATTTTCATACTGGATAGCTTTCCAAATCTACTTTCACTCTAAAAACCTGCACCTCTCCAGCAGCTAATTATAGTTTATGTATGCATTCCTAGAAAAATACGCCCATAAATCTGGTTCGTTCTCCAAATAACTAACGAGCTAAAAACTTGTAGAAAAATAACCAACTGCAAACTGCGACTAATTGTAAATGTTTTTTTTCTCTTCAAATAATAATGACATGGTCACATGCACTCCACTCTTGTCGTCCGTCGGTCCGTCCGTCTCATTACGCTAGATAATTATCCCCAAGTTCTTTCTGTTCTTGTTATTGTTCCCATTTTATTTTAGACCAGGGACAAGAAAAGTAACTAAACAAACTAAATTAGAAAACTTTCCGTAATTTCCCCTGACTCGCAATTAACCGAAAGAATTGCGACGCAGTTCCTGATTTACAAAAAAAACTTAAATAAATTCCAAGGATGGATCGACGTCAATTATTTTTTTGGAATTCTTATAAAACTCGAAGTAAATGGTTGATTTTTATTGGTAAACTTTCTCCTCTAGGAAAAGGGAGGGAGTAAATAATTGCTTTTATTTTCTACCATCCAAAAAATCCCAGCCTCGCTCGTAATAAAAAATCCTTTTTTTCTGGCGAGCTTTTGTCGCTTTGTGAACTGCTAAAGGCTGCTCAGTCAGTAGAAGTGGACGCCAAACATGACAACTTTACGGACATGAATCACATCACGTTACATAACTCGGAAATAAAAATTCTGCTGACATGACACTAATTTCACGACCAGACCACTTGCATTCCGACGCATTTACACGACTCTAGAATTATGCAGTGATTATTCGTGGCTATAAATTGCATGCACTCGAGAGGGGTGTTTTTATGAATATTTTACTATTATGTCACTTCATCCACACCCTGACATTCACACGAGTCAAGAAACACGTCCGTCAGAAAGTGAAAGTTTTCCCCTGCCTGACTTTCACTTCAGCTTCGCCTTGAAATGTAATGTTTCCAGTAGAAAAAAGAACTAGCCAGAAACTCTGGTCGTTACCGTGTGTCTAGTTAATTGGTGTAATTGGGATAAAAATAACCCTCCTTTTTTTATCTGCAGGAAATGCTGTCGAAACTGAAGACTTTGACGCCCTCCGTGCCCGAGGAGAAGTTGGCATCGCTGAGCAATTTTGGCTACTCGGTCGTCTGGTCCAACGATCCGGTACAAATAATACCGTAAACACGGACCTTAAGTTTGTATTTTTAACTAATCCTTAGTATTTATGAAGAGGTGAAAATTTTTAAAGTTTTTCACAGTGTTAATGTCAATTCAGTTTACTAAAATTTCTGTATTCTTCAATTTCATTCTTTTCTCTCTGGTTTTGACTATAACAGCAATTTTTACGGTAACTTACTTATCATTAACTAAGTAATTATTCTAAGTAGCTTGTCAATCAAATTTAACTAATCAGCTCCGTTTTTCATCATTTCTATTTAAATATGTTTAACAAATATCTTTTTTGCGTCATGTATTTATGTAAATCTCCAGCAATATGAAGTTTGTTCTTCTATTTAACTTCGTAGGATTTTCGGGACAGCGAACAGAATCCGTGGACCATTACGTTACCCCATTTTCCTCTGGATTCCTTGTACGATGCGTCACGATTGATGGTAATTACTTAATTAAATATGATATTTGAGGTGTCATTTAATTTTTTTGGTGGCAGAGCGTCGCGCCAGATATTTCTCTGTACCGCTTACTCGTCCGACTTTACCCGTACGACCTTATCGTCGAGAAGGACGAAGGTCAACTTAAAGCCGTGGATGACACGTTGACCTCGTTCGGCTTCAATATTTCAGACTCGCCGAGTAAATCCAGTGGGAAATTGGTCGAGAAATATACGACAGGTGGAAAACCAAATTTAGACATTTTTGAGGGTAAATTTCTAGAATAAAATTGTATTTTTTGTTAAAGGATCGTCTCCACCTCCGTCGGAATACTTTCGCTACATTCCTGTCGCCTCGCACGAATCGGTGGTGGGCGAATTGCTCGAGTCGTACCAAGTGAAACGTGACATTTGTCTCTTGGGGGAGCGTGGGAGTGGAAAAAGCGTCATTCTGTCGAGATTTGCCTCCCTCATTGGGGCCAAAATAGAACCGATCGTCCTCTACAAGGACATGACGGCGAGGGACCTGCTCCAACAAAGGGCCACGAAGCGAGATGGCGACACGGTGTGGCGAAACGCTCCCTTAGTTTCGGCCGCGCTTGAGGGAAAACTCGCTGTTCTGGATGGCCTAGACCAAGTCCATTCGAGCACGCTGGCGGTCATATTCAGGTGAAGAATTGACCTCAAATTGGCGTCACTTCTGAAGCCATTAATTAAGTTCCTGCCTTTTGTGATCACAGACTCGTGCATGATCGCGAACTCCAACTCCACGATGGAACACGTCTCCTCCGAAAGGACCGTTTTGACGCACTCGCCGCCAAACTTTCACTCTCTGCTGAGGAGATGGCCTCGACGCATGGGATTTACCCGATTCATCCGGATTTCTTCATCGCCGCGACGGCCACACCACCGCCGCCAAAGTCCGCCTCGGGTGGAGGGAAGGAAAAAAAGGCTTGGCTCACACCAGAAATGCTCTCACTCTTCTTCTACCATCGCGTCCCCCGTCTCAGTGTGGGCGAAGAGGAAGAGATCGTCTCGTCCTTTGTGAGTTTGTGCATAATATGAAGATGACCTCTGTTTGACCCCAAATTACTCTGTTTAGTGTTCCAGTCGAGGCGAGCTTGCGCCAGAGACGCGAAAAATCATAGCCACCGCACGACAGCTAAGAGAAAGCAAGGAATCCTCGAAAAAATCACTGTCCTCGTCGCTCTCAACGGTAGAAACTTTTACGGAATTTATGAACGTTTCCTGACTCGAGGTAAAAAGTAATGTAATGTCTTTTCTACTTTTAAAATGTAGCGCCAACTTGCCCGCATAGCGCGAAGGACGGAACTATTCGGCGTCGCGGACGGTGAATTAGGACCATTCGAAGAAGTCTCGAGAGCCTGTTTATCACGGTGAGCAATGACTCATTACGATGTTCTTGTCACATGGCTTTTTAATTGAAATTCGCCAAAAACTTTTAAAATTCCGGTCAGATTTCGCCCACTTAAATTTAATTTTACAAAAAGTCGTCACAATTTCGTCATATCTGTTATCAATACACTACTTTTTATTATTTGTGCTTGTCGGCGGTGACGATGACGAGCCTGGGACACTCTTCAACACGGGTTGGACCAACTTGGGCAGCATCGCCATTCCCGGAATGGTCACTTCTTCCACCAATGCTTTGAATTTCTGCTCTCCAAAGACAAGCAAAATCCACTTATCTCATTTACTTATTTTCATCTTATCTGCTGCGTTCGTTACCTTATCCAAGTTTTCCATGATGCCCTTAAATCTCTTGGCATTCATGTCAAGGACTTCTTTCTGGTGAGCGTTGAGGGCGGCGACGGTCTCTTGGACGACGGAGGGCGACAACAGGGCCAGGTTCTTCTTCATCATTTCCTGCGTTTGGGTCCCAAACTCGGCCATGGCTTTGGCATAGCCTTCCTTCAGGGTCACATTCATGGCGTCGTAGTTGGACTGCACACTCGTCTTCAAGTTCTTCATGTTGTCCTCCATGTTCTTGAGCATGTCGTCATTAGCTAAATAAAGGGGGAAAGGTCAAGAGGTCAATTAGTAAATGAATAATAATTTCATATTTTTGGGATGTATTTTTGGAAATTATTTGGCGAAACTTTGAGCTTTGATAACGCTCCTGAAAAGTAAAGGCCAGTAAACTAACGAGTCAACTAGTTTTTAGCCTGACTCGGGAAAGTCTGTATGTAGATTTTGAACATCTATTCATCTCCCAATTCTCTATATAAGAATTTCGAAAATGGTACTGATTTCACGAGGTAGAAATTACTAGAAGTTTGAACACAATTTTGACCTGAGTAATTTACAAAATGGGGTGAGGGTCACCTTTCTTGACCTGTTTAAAGATGTCCTCATAACCCTTGAGGTACGAGGCCTGGAGGGTGCCAAAGTTTTTTAGTACGGCTTCGACAACCTATCCAAGCAAATTGTTATGAATGATTAATTTAGAAGGTTAATTGCATTAGCTATAATTGAGCACCGAGTTGAATTGAGTCCCCATTTCGCCCAACATCCCATCCGCCTTGTCCTTAAAGTCGGTCGTCATCTGGTTCAATTTTGTAGCAGCTGCCGCAGCAGCAGCATCGTCGGCCATTTTGAGAGCAACAATTCAGACAGGGTCTACCTTTGCTATTTTTGTAAAAAAAAATAGGGACAACGTATTTTGAAAATTGAAACGCCTGAAATTTCTATGGCTTTGTGAGATTCAAAATTTTGACAACACGAACATTCTAACGTCTAACCTTAGCCATTTTATTTACGAAACGTTGATTTTTTGCATACAAAATCAAATAAATTTTTTATTAATAATTAATATTGTTAACCTGAATTTACAGTTCAATGCCTAAACTCAGCCATTTTATTTCAGTGCGACCATGATACTGTAATTTGTTAATTTTTGCATAAACTGTGGCACATGAGCAATTTACTTTTTGCCCTTCCCCGTTAAGTCTTCCACTTTGAGCGTGAGTTTTTTGGCCGTGTCGTCCGCGCTGTCCTTGAGAACTTTGGTGGCCTCGGTGAGCTTGAGCTGTATGGCGTCGAGGGTGTCCTTCTTCTTGTGGTCCAGGTAGGACGTCGTGGTGTCCGCCCCCACGTTCACAGCCAGTTTCAGGAGCGGGATCTTGCTCAGCGTGGAGTCAAAGGCTTCCGTGAACTTGGACACGTTGGACTGAAATTGAGACATGTCAGAGTCTCTCAGCTGGGCAAACGTATCGTCCAAACTGGAATTGTCAAAACTGTCAAATTTGTGGTCAGAATTTGTGACGAAATTTCGGATCACTTACGTTTTTTGGAGTTCTTTATAATTCCCTTGAAATTTCTCGATCATTCCTTGATTTCCTGAAAAAATAAAAAGTTAGGAATATAGTTGAATTTTGTGAATTTTTAACTACATATTAATTTATTATCCGAATCCGAACTATGCTTGCTTATTAAAAGTTGAGTTTGAATTTTAGTGTTGCAAATTCTGTGTAAATTTGCGAATTATGTGTCAGTTTTAAACCATGTCTATCATACCTTTGATCGCCTGCGCCCTCATGTCGCTACTCCCCTTGCGAAAAGCTTCACTTAAATTGTCAAAGTTTAAATAGGCACTTTTTTCTAAATCATCCATCGCCGGCTTGCATTGATCCAACAAAGAAATGCAGCTCCTTAAAAAATACAGAATTTGAAAAGAAAATGTTTATCTTAATTTTATCGTAAAATATGTGATTTTGAAGAAATTTATAAATTTTAAAGGGGCAAACTTTTTAAAATCTTCAACCATTTTGAGACATTGTGTTTTGGATTCTTCTTTCGCCATGATGTCGAAAACTCGGACGGGGTGTGAATTTTGTACGATTTTTGGTCATATTTTCGTCCGAATTAAGACTCTCCCTCGTCAAATTTTATGGCTGAATACGCTATGGATACGATTAGGTTTAATTAAACGGGGTAATTTAATTTTATAAAAACTTCCAGATTTTTGCCACCCCTGAACAAAGAGGAGCTTGAGAACACGATGTTGAAGAATGGGATTCTTCCGCGCTCTGGGTCCTCCCCCTTTGCCGAGAAGAAGGTGACCTCGTCCCCCACCGAGTTGACCATCGGCCTGACCTCCGCCCCCATCTGGCCAGACACGGAACACAAGTCCAAAGTTCCCCACGTCCTCTTCTACGACATCCAACAGGTCGGGCTTCAGTTTAACCCAGATAACATCACATTTCACAGGGGAAACCGAGATCACAAAATTATTGCAAAATTTTCTAAATCAGCAAAATATTGTATGAAATTTACTGTAAAATTGTGCTAGCAATCCGCGAGGTTTATGAGTCGCAATAATTCTTCTAGTCAAATCGATTGAAAATGCGAATGATCGCGATTTATACACACCGTTCAACATTTTGTTTCGTATCGTAACCTGCTTTCAAAAAATTATTCTCATATTTTAAACCATATTCTAAATAATTCCTTGACCAAAGTGTGAATGAAATGTGAAAAATGTCGTTTTTCAGCACGTGCGCGTTCTTGAGGAGCTCTTGCAAGACTATTTGATGGGGGAGCACCTCCTCCTCGTGGGCAATCAGGGCGTCGGGAAAAACAAACTAGTCGACCAACTCCTTTACTTGCTCAACCGTCCCAGAGAATACATCCAGCTCCATCGGTACAATATTCATTCATTCGTCCACACCAGAGGTCAACGCCGACAAATTTCGTGGCGCTAATTTTGGTGATTTTTCGGCGGCGTTCCAATGTTGAATAAATAGGATACGCAGATTTATCAGCGTCGTTGACCTCTGACGCACACCCTGTTTGCAGGATCCTGTATAATTTGCATATGAATTTATGTATGTCGACACAGAGACACGACCGTGCAGGCGCTCACGTTACAGCAGAAAGTCGTGGATGGCGTGGTCATCACGGAGGACAGTCCACTAGTCCGGGCTGCTAGGGAGGGACATGTCATTATTATCGATGAAGCCGACAAGGCCCCAACCCACGTGACCTGCATTCTCAAAGTGAGATAAGTTCCCGTCATCAATTTATGCTCTACAAAAAATGTCTAGTTCTTCGAAACGTTAATATTTCTCTCTACGGTTTATAGACTTTGGCAGAATCTGGGGAAATGGTGCTGTCCGACGGGCGTCGAATCGTCCCTCAATCCATAATCGACCTCCACTATCAAAATTTGACGGCGGAAGAGTCCAACGCCATCATTCCGTTGCATCCAGACTTTAGAATGTTTGTCCTCGCAAATCGGCCAGGATTTCCATTTCTGGGGAACGACTTCTACTCTGTCCTTGGTTAAAAAAATTTCAAAAACTTGTGACTAATTTACTGAAAATTTACTAAATTTGTAATTTGAATGTCATGTTAAAGGCGACCTCTTCAGCGTGCACGCAATCGACAATCCAAGTTTCGAATCGGAAATGGAACTCTTAAAGAATTACGGGCCTGACATCGACCCCGCGTATTTGGAACGGATAGCCAAAGCGTTTGGCGATCTGCGCAAAATGGCGGATGACGGAACGATCAATTATCCATACTCGACCAGAGAAGCGGTCAATATTGTGAAACATTTACGAGTAAGTTGTAATAATGAAATGAGGATAGTTTTTTATATTACTGAAATTTTAGTAAATTAAACAAAAAATCTTTCAGAAATTCCCTTCGGATTCGTTATCTGAAGCAATCGACAACGTCTTTGATTTCGACGTGTACAATGCCGAATTGCGTCAAACGGTGAAGGATACGCTGCACAAGTATAATTTGAAACCAAGTGACGGTGTTCTCTTGAGAAATCGGACGAGTGGAGATGGGTGCGTTTCAAAAATTTGCAGGGAATTTAATGAAAAATTAAAGTAAAAGAGAGCATATTTTATACGTAGGAACTTGTCCGTCCAGAGAATGTCAGTCGCAGATTTGCAAAAATTACAGCGTGCCGGGGACATGATGGGGATGAAACCGTCAGAGAAAAATTTTCAATCGGGGGATTTTAAGGATCCCAAATTCGGCAAGGTCGACCCCACCGGGGCGGCGCATGTGGGAGGGTGAGCAAAATACTATAACCTTATCTTAACATATTCGCAACAATCTCGTCTTTTGTGTAGAAATACTTGGGCTGGTGGATCAGGAGGAATGTGAGTGCAAATTAAAATAAATCCGAAATTTTAATTGGTATTAATTTGTCAATGTTTCCGCAGGGGAACTGCTGGTCTTGGCGGAGCCGGGGGTCCCTTTCGCCTCGACTCTGGCAATCCTGTTTTCCAAGTTTCAGACCAAGTGAAGGAAGCCGTGCCACCCGAAGTGCGAAAAATGGCACGTGAAATGGCGAGAAAAGCTTTTGAAGAGAAACTCAAAGAAATCAAGATGAGTAAATATGAAGGAAATGTTTACGAAGAGTTTCTGGGTCCAATTCGTCCTCAAATTCAAGCCCTCCGCGTCATCCTGACATCTCTTCAAGCCAAAGCTAAAGAGCGAAAGTGGGTACGACACCAAACTTCGGGGGAGCTGGACGACTCCAAAATTATCGAGGGCGTTATCGGAGAAAAGAACGTGTACAAATTGAGAAAGGACGAAGAACCCGAACCCGGAGATCCGCAACAGAAGCCGAAACGACTCAAACTAGTGGTCGACGTTTCTGGCTCGATGTACAGGTTGGTGGACATTCGGAATTTGAAAAAATGGGGCACATATATTATTTGTCCAATATTTCCTAAATTTTTGTGCCGAAACATTCTATTTCTATCCAATACGGACAGCAATTATTTCCCAAAATCTTACATTTCTATCCTAACAAACCATTATGTTTCCAGATTTAACGGGTACGATCGCCGCCTCGACCGTGTCCTGGAATCGTGCCTCATGGTCATGGAATCGTTCAAAGGTTTCGAGGACATTTTCCAATACGAGATCGTCGGCCATTCCGGAGACGACTTTAAACTCCCCATCGTCGCCTTGGCCGACACCCCAAAAGACAACAAGGAACGACTCGACATTATGCGAATTATGCACCTCCACGCCCAATTCTGCTCCTCGGGTGACAACACCTTGGAAGCCACGCAGGAGGCCATCAAATCCGTCGGGTCGGATATTGACGAGTGTGACGAGGCCTTTGTCATTGTCCTCTCGGACGCAAACTTGGAACGGTACGGAATTAATCCCAAGGAACTCGCCAAAATTTTGAACCACAATCCAGACGTGAAAGCTTTCTCGGTTTTTATCGGATCCTTGGGAGATCAAGCGCAGAGGTATGAGAGCAAAAAATAAAATTGTGCGAATTTTATGCAAATTATTTATGTACTTTTGGTTTTTGCAGACTGACGGAACAATTGCCACCAGGCAAGGGATATGTTTGCCTCGATACGACACAACTTCCTAAAATCTTACAGAGAATATTTACCCAATCAATTTTACATTAATGTCAAATTTGTTAGTTTTAATTTGGTAGGCAGCAAAAAAAAAACTTTTAACATTTCATTTATAAATGTATTCATATTGGTTAATAGTATTTTTATTCATCAGTGTGTGCTAATTATTATTATTATAAATTGAATTAACCCTGCAATTGTAGGTAAATTTTATTTTTAAAATAAAAAAAATCAGAAATATAAAAGTTCAAATGTCGAATTTGTGTAAAAATTTTTTTTGTCGGCATAATTTTCATGCAGGGTGTAAAAGTGGGTGAAACGAATTACCGACGCATTCGAAAGTCTGTACCGTTTGCCAAACTGGGAAACTTTCACTTTTCAATTAATTTGGTATTTATAATTTACACAATTTTAATAAGTGTACATAAAACTTACCAATAGTCTTCTCGTTCACAAAACAGCTAAAAATTGCTGACATTGCATCAGCAGTTTTAGGAGAAATTTTTAGGTCAAACTTTTCTGAGGAATGACTCAATTTATTATGACATGCAAAAGTTGAAAATATATATTTCAGAATAAATCTCGTACTGGCAATCAGAATAAATCTCGAACAGTCGGAATGGTAAATACGTCAGGGGGGACGCTCTTTGGAAGTTTATCAAAGACAACAAACTGTTCGGACGTCGGATTGCTTATCCCATTGGCTCCAAAACTTCAGAAAGCCTTCATGACAAAAATTATGCACGAATTAATAAAGATGCAGCAAAAAGTACATATATTCAAACCACCTTTTAATCGCTTCGATATATTTATAAAGCACAATATTAATAAACCGTTGCAAACGAAATGTAGCAAAGGGGTGAAAACACACGGAATTGTCTTTGTGGAACGCCCACAACGTCTCTCTGCACTTTCCCGTCATTGTCTCACATTACCCCGCGTCTCATTTTGCCCCGTTTTGACACCCCCACCCGCGTACTTCAAACGTACACGACAATTCCTTTCAATAGACACCCGTTCAGATTCCTAATATGTAGGAATATGAATGTATTTGGAGTTGGAATGTGTAGATTGCATTGTTTTGTCAGTCTGCATTTAAGATGCAGATTTAGCGCAATTTACATAGGTATTTCAGTAGAAACATGCAAATCAATGTATATGCGGAAGTGATGGCAGGTATGTTACGCTGCATCGCTTTCACATCTTGCAAACTCATCTTATGTAGATTGAGTTGTCCAGTTTTGCAGTTTTCTAAACAGGTAAAATGGTAGTAAGTTATGTATGCATGTATTTGTTCCAATGTTGAACAAACAACGGTATTTATGTAACTTACATAACTTGCATAACTTGCAAATAGATTTATTTTTAGTTGGAAAATGGAATGTATTAGTTAGCATACACGGGTGCTTTTCCGTCCGCTCTGCAGTATAAAGGTAGCCACGGACCAGAGCCCGCGTAACGCCCATTTAATATTTTTGTAACACAGGGTTGTTCTGCACAAGAGTGAATCGCAAGTCTCACATTGCCTCAAATGAGAAATTGAGATTGCAAAATTATTAGTATCAAATTACCCATAGGAATTGTATCAGTTTACCCATAAGAAATTAACGTATCACATTACCCCATATTAACCATTAATAATAGAAATAGTATCATGCAAGTCTGTATGTACTTATGAATTAAACCAGAAATAAACCAGTTACTATTAATATAAAATTAACCAATTGAAGTTGTCTACGAATCATTTACACAGCCATAGAGCTTTATGCTAGAATTTGGTGCACAGTAATTCAAGTTGCGCTACACTCAACAAACACACACTCATAATTAACTAACGTGAATTTACAACTCACGCACCTCTTAGGAATTTATTTACGATTAAAAACAACACCCCACATGACAAAAGTAATTTTTTCGACATTCGACACCTCCCACCCGGTCATGGAGTCGTCGCACGTCGAAATGATGGCGATTTCTGAAATCCCCGCTAAAAAATACGTCTAAAACGGTGGCAACAAAAAATTCGACAACTTTCGACTTTGGCGTCGTCTACAAGGTCACACGGTCACGGCACGTCAAAACTATGTCCATTTTCGAAATCCTCGCCCAAAACTACGTCTAAAACGGTCGAAACAAAAAATTCGACACATTTGACGGTTTATCTCATCACCGTGGCGCCGTGACCTTATCACCTCCGACGCCCATCTTCGAACTCATCCATACTTCAAAAATTAGAAACACGTTGACGGAAACCGCATGCCGAAATACGAAACCATTCTAAAGTTATCGTGGATACAGACGGACAGACGGACGGACGGACGGACAGACGGACGGACGGACAGACGGACAAGACATTTCCATAAAGGGGTTTTCACCCCTTAATAAAATCGGCTGTAAACAATCCCATTTAAGAAAAGTTAAACTTCTCTCAGTCATTAATTTCTTAATATTTCTTAATATTTTTGCACAAATTCTAAAACTTTTAATTTTCCAGGATGTCTGTAAAAGTAAACCAGGTCAACCACAAAATCTATGCAATTTTATGCATGCAAAAATTTTTCCCTTTTGTGTAATAATACCTATAATAAACAAGTTGCATGACTAACTAACCAACTGGAGTGTCAAATTTCGTCATCATTTAGCTTTAACCAGAACAGCCTTCAATTAAAGTGAACTTTGCATTTCCACATTTCCAGTCCAGTCATCCATTCAATCCAAAGTCAACAAGTCCAATCAAACCACAAAATCAAGATAACATCGATTTGATTGCACGACACATTAACCAATAACAAATAACCAATAAATAAATACACAAATCTAGTCTTAAACAAAAATGGATAAGACAGACAAATAAAGGAAAATCAAAGTCAAGATAAGCATAACTGAGGACAAATAAGCGTACAGTGAAAAGATAACACTCCATCCATCCCGTCCTCATGTGGTCTTATTTACAAGTGTGTCAGTGCAGAATTGGTGCATTTAGTACATATGCATCTCTTTAAATCGATAATTTACTAATAATTATCAATTTATAAATTTGCAACAAAATTTTCATAAAATGCCGAAAGGCAAACTTTTAGAGTAAGTCGATGTATAAGATTTTTTGCCAAATTTAAAGTAGGGCTCGATTATACTCATCGTCAAAGTCGTCAAAATCAATCCATTTTAAATCACTTCTCGAGAATTTGTTTTAAAATTCTAGACAAATTTGTAGTGCATGTCGCTGGCAATTAAAAAAAATATGCAATATATATAAGAAAGATAAAAGGGAACCTTTTATCTTTCTTAAAGTGTAAAAATCTGGAGTGCATATTTTTTTTACAAAATACGTAGCGCAAAATTGGCGACTTTTTACCTCGCCCCTCGTAACGGGTTACACCTCTTTTTTGCAGAATGCAAGTTGATCTGTAACGAAATAGCCCGCCCTCCTCTGCGTTACGTATTTTATGAACGTTCCCAATTTCCAGAGGCAAGAAATGATTAAAAATGTGCTGATTTTTACGATTTTGTGATGGGTCATCGAGTCCCACTTAATAACTCTTGGTCAAAATTTGCTGCATGTATTTGCAGGAAGGATGGGAAACGTGTCTTGGGAGTGGAATTTGCCCCGACGCATCTCCCCCTCGAACGGCGTCTCCAAACAGCGTCCATCATCGCGTGGTTCTTAATTATGATCGCCTGGCCTCTGGTCTCATATCCGGTCTTTTTTTACGCCACTTTTTTCACCCAGCACGGCTACCTCTTCACCATCCCCTACTTAATTTGGATCTATGCAGATAAACAGCAGTGCAACAAAGGGGGGCGCAAGTAAGGTCCACCATTTTTGTTACTTCAGCGTGTGCAAGGTTGACAAAATATTGAGTTCATTGAGTTCATTGTTCGAGTCACGAAACATTAAACTCGTCGCCAAATCTTTGCAGAACGAATGTCAACCTCAGCCTTGTTACTCAAATTCTATTTTATCAAGTTAACAAAATAAATTCATGAGTTTGGAATATGAAGAATTAAGCATCCAAATGCTTGTAAAAAATGCAATTAAAAATTACGAATATAATTTTTCAATCCCAAAACTAACGCAGAAAGAACTCAAAGTTGACAAACTGTAGCTACCAAGAAATAGCGTGATCCAGAAAGTTAATTAAAACATTAAAAACTTCAAAAAATCATTTTGTGGTCAAAAAATCGTTGAAGCAATTTTGCATACAATTTTAGGAAATCTTGGAATTACAAAAAAAGATTTTTGTCATTGGACTCAATAAATAATAATTAAGCTAAAAAAAATTCCAATCTTGATTTTCGTTGTCCTGAAACGGTTCCAGATTTATTGATTTGGGTAAAAATTCGTTGAAAAAATCTTATGCTTTATAAGAACCTGATCTGAATGTCCATTATTTAATTATTTAAAAAATGTAAAAAATCATACGTCGCCAAACTCGCTCAAAACAGGATTAATTTGGCTCTATTTAGGGTTGGGTGGACGCGCCGTTGGAAATTGTGGGACCATTATCGTGACTATTTTCCCATAAAGTTGGTGAAGACGGTGGACCTCCCACCCGGCCAGAACTATCTTTTCGGCAGCCATCCGCACGGGATTCTCTGCTCCGGAGCCTTTTCCACCTTCGCCACGGATTCGCATGAGGTCGAGAAGCTATTTCCCGGCCTGAGCTTCTCCGTCCTCACGCTCGAGATCAACTTCCTCCTCCCACTCATACGCGACCTCATTTTGGGCCTCGGTATGTTCAATTGGGAAATTTTGGGAAAAAAATCATAATTTTTAAATAAAATTTTCACCACATTTTACTTGCCTCATCGCCAAAATCGTCTACATAAATCAACACTTTATAATCCTTTCTCGGCTCTGGGAATTTAATTTAAAATTCTGGGCGACAAATGTGTGGTCAGTAAATTGATGGATAGATGGTGAGTTTTTAGGCCAGTTTAGATGGGTTCCAATTTTCTGAAGGCTTCCTAAACATCTCCTCCATTAAAAACTGTCAAAAGCTGGAGTGTATATTTTTTTTAATTAGCAACTCCCTGCTTTGCAAATTCCAGAATTATGAAATAAATTCCCAGAGCCGGGAAATAATTAAAGATGTGCAGATTTTGGCCATGAGTCCTAGGTTGATGTTTGCAAAAGATGATTCAAAATATCAGATTCAAAGAATTCAAATCAACAAATAAACAAAAATTGCAGGGCCCGATCTATATGAAATTTGTAAAAAAATGATTGCGATTTGTAATCAAAACATGACTGGTGGGACAAAATTCGCAAATACGAGGAAACAAAATTTTAAGAATTTTGTACTTTTTGGCCCAATTTGCGTGAAATTTGTGCACTATTGAAGTATAAACTTGAGTCAGTCGGACAAAAAAGTGACAGATTTGTGAAAATAATCCTAAACTTTGATTAATTTAATTTGAAGGAGTGTGTTCCGCGACGCGCGAGAGTATGAATTACCTCCTGAGCCGACCGGGTGGGGGAGTGGCTGCCGTGCTGATTCCGGGGGGCGCACCCGAATCACTGGATTCTCATCCTGGCTCCTACGTTGTCCAGCTCAAGAACAAGAAAGGCTTCATCAAGGTCGCCATGCAGAATGGGTGAGTTTACATGAAAAAGATAAGCCCCCAACGTATCTTAAATGGTGATCATGAACAAATTATCAGGCTATGTAAATCTGTGTAAAACACGCGCAATATTTTGACGTGTGGTAAAGCATGCTATAAACTACATCAATAATTTTTTGATACTATTATTTCCGGGATCCACCTGCAAGAAATAACTGCAAGAAAGTGGTTTCTTGCAGCTATTTTGTCCTGCAAGAAATGCACGGCGCAATAAACTACGCCCCACCGCTACGCATCATATAGCGCTTATTTCTTGCAATTTTTTTTTGCACCTCGCATTTCGTACTTTAGATTGCAAGAAATTTAGTAAATCTGTAAAAAACGAAATACTGACGAACTATTGATCGAATTCGAATATGCGAATATGCTTCTAGAGCCTCCCTCGTCCCTGTCTTCTCCTTCGGCGAGACTGAAATATTCGACCAACTCGCGAATCCCAAGGGTTCCTTCCTACGCACAATTCAGGACAAATTGCAACAAATGTTCCAAATCGCACCCGCAGCATTTCACGGGCGAGGAGTCTTCCAATACTCGTTCGGCCCCTTACCCAGACGCAGAGCCATCACGACCGTGGGTTAGTACTCGATAATTTGCACAATTCCACAAGATATTGGCACATTTTTGACACATTATAATTTCACAAACAGTCGGGGCTCCAATTCCCGTCAAGAAAATAGCTCAGCCGACGCTTGAAGAATTAAATGCGATGCATCAACGCTACGTGGACGCCGTGGTGGAACTATTTTACAAGCATCGCGACGAATACGCACACGATCCTACGCATGTCATCGCAATTGTGTAAAAATTTGCAAGTTCGCAAATAGCTATTTTTCGCATATGACATATGTAAGTAAACATTTTGCTAGGAAAATAAAATACTGGAAAACTGCCCGAATATCTTTGCATAACCCGAAAAACAAGATCTCTCGACAAGATTTAAGATTTCATCATAATCACATCAATTTAACCCTCTGCTTTAAACTATGTGCACTCATCTCGTCACGTACCATTACTCTAATTTGCATATTATTCATTCGTCCCCTTCCTCGTCAACAAGATTGGTGTGGAATTTGGGAGCGAATTATGTACGTCAATGGCTCTCAAAAGGTGCAGATAAGTCACAATGAGGTGAGATTTCAATTGTTATTTTGATTGATTGCTTTATTGATATGTTGATGAACCGCCGAGTTACGCATAAGGGAAGATAAGTGCTTATCGGCTCAAGGGTAATTTCACATTTTATCACTTAACTCGTATAAATCTCTGTTAATATTTCAACATCGACCTTAGTTCTGTTTTTGGTAGGGTTCAAGAAAGGCGAAAAAGTACAAAAAAATCCAAAAGTATGAAGACCGTCATCTTAATTTGTGCCCTAATCGGCGTCGCGTACGCCCGTAAGTTAAGACATCAAATTCTCCATTTTGAAATTGTTAAATGTCAAAATTCTTATCAAATATTAACCCACTGTCGTACATAATCTTTCTTGAAAAGGATAATGGCAAAATCCCTTTAAAATTATTTCTGACCTTGTATTTGACAAAAATGTCAAAATTTGCATACATTTTTTCACACAATTTTTAACAAATTGTAAATTTTATATGTAAAACAATTTTGATTTTTTCCAGAAAATTGTGGGATCACGGGAGTCGACGATGAGATAGTGACGATTGACTCGGTGCTGGAATTGACCGCGTTGGACGAGTTGATCTGGACGGCGCCGACGTTCAACGTCACAGGCGCGGCGGCCATTCAGCACCCGCACACTCGCTACTTGACGGGACTCCGGTACGCGTCGCGCTACGAGTACAAGGCCACCGCCGTCTTCAACGAGTTCATCAAAACCGAGTGGAACAGCACTCTGGTCCGAAACGTGGTCTTCACCTGCTCCGACACGTTGACCAAGTCCTACACCTTCCTCCTCAATGTCATCGATGAGAACGACCAGCCGGTACTATTCTATACAAATTTGCAAACATTTTTCGCACCAACGTGACATTTTTTGTCAAATTTCGTAAAGGCCTTTGCTTTAAAAAATTTAAATTTTGAAATATTAGACAATTTTTAACACAATAATAGCATTTTTCTGGAGAAAGCTGAAATTATTAGGTTCAATTTTCGTGGAGAATGCACTCACTTTTGGCTGCACATTTTGGTTTCAAAGATCAGAAATTTTCAAAAATGCAGCACAACTAATAGTATTTTTTCCCTAAGAATCATAAATTTTCAAATTTTGACACAAAGTTTGCATTTTATGCTTCTAGCATTTTTGCACTAGTCAGTACGTCGTTTAAGTATTACATTTTAGTTTTATTTAGAATATTGATTGCATGTGGAATTTTTTTTAAATTCTCACCAAAATTACACCATTTTAAAAGTACAAATTTCTTACAAATTTTTAATCTCCACAGCCGGTGTTTGCCGTGAAAGCGTACACGGCCACGGTCTCCCAAGCCGCCAACACCGGGGAACCCATCAGCGCCAACATTCTCGTCAGCGACGGTGACTTCGAGCTGTCCAACGCCCAGCTCATCGTCCGCTCGAGCAACGCGCTGGTGACGCCCTTCGTGGACCCCACCTGGACGGGACAGCACCCAAGGCCCTACACCTACAGGATCGACCTCATCGTCAGCCAGAGCTTGGCCGTGGGGCGCTACACCATCATCTTCACCGCGGACGATGGGCGCGCATCCGACTACACCGTTTTGGACCTCGAAGTTACAGCTTAAATGGGAAAGTTTTAGAATTTGGATAATTTTTTGAGCAATAAAAAACATTTAGTGAAATCATGAACGAGCTGAACGAAATTTTTTTTTGCATAAAACAAATTAACAGACGATAAAATGTAAAGGTTGAAAATCGGATTTAATTTTGGACATATTTCACTTATTTATTTTGTAGTAGGTAAAAAATATCTTTGATTTGAAGGTTTGCAAAAATTGTAGAAACTGGATATTCGCATATTTTTGTGGAATAGTCATTCTTATGAATATTTACCTAATCCGGGATGTAAACTAAATGCGCCTGATTTCTACACAATTACGACACTCATTTTTTTGGAGGGGATTAATATGTCCAAGATAAACAAGATGAATCGTTTTATTGTATTTATTTTGCCAATCAAGTTTTATATGAATAAAATTTGCGAATCTGCGTCATTCCCTAATCAATAAATGGACATCCGCAATTGATCAGTGATTGTCATCCCATTAAACATAAATTAATTGCAATTGTGCATTATTTTTGCCATCGAGTATTACAATACTTGAAATCAACTTATCCGTTTGAAAATAAATAAAAAGTTATAACATTTTTAACTAAAATGCGTGCTACATTTTTATATCCAATTCTTGGCATGTTTGTTCTACTTGTTGTACCGAGTTGCAGAGCACGTACGTAAATATTTTACAATTAAGTTGTTTAATTTTGAAAAATAATTAACTATTTCAATCAGAATGGTTCTTCAACCTTTTAGTTGTCCAATTTATGTTTAGAAACTTGTGGGATGACGGATCGAGACGGGGTCATCATTCCTCCGAACGAGTTCGTCTTTCCCTACCCAATTCCGGACAACTGGAGTCCCGTCAACGAATTTTGGTACCATGCATTTTCACTTTCAGCTCTACTATGAATTAATGCAATTTTACATGAGCTATTTTACGTATTTTAACATAAGCAATCTATGTAAAATGGTTTTAATTATAATGCCTCGACCATAATTGAGTTGCGATGAGAAATCACACGTTGTCTTGAGTGCATTCACGGCACTTAATACATTTTCTTAACAATTTCATACTTAATTTCAGGGAGACGCGGACAATTAACGTGAACCGGACCACTGTACTTCCCGACGGTCAGGTCAAGTACATCTCCGCTTTCAGGTACACACATCGCTACACGATGAAAACGACGGCGGAGTTCGCTAACTTTCTGGAGAGTGAGGACGATCCCGAAAACGGCGTCATCACCAGACGATCCAATTTCGAATGTATTGATGGATCCGTGATAACCTACACGTTTCGCATGCAGGTCGAAATTTCGGACAAGGAAAGGGTAAAGATTTTGCACTTATATAGATTCATGCCCTCATAAAATTTACCTTTTCTCCACGCAAAATCTAATTTAAATACCTATGAGGCATTAATAGTATTTACAAATACTTATATTGAGAGTACTGCCTAAAGGTAAAATATATCCAACTTCTCTAGTAAGATTTGCAAATGCATTCCAAATTTTATAAAATTTCAGTTACCGAGTGGAAAATATTCTTTTCTCATTCATAAAAATCGATTACATAATTCTCGCCGTTTATAAGAATGAAGTAGTAATTAAGAAAAACTAACAGTCGGCCTGTTAATCTTTGATATATATTTTAGGACGTTTCCCCTAATTTTAAAATTTTTCAACATTTTTCTGCCTTTCTTAAAACAAATCGATTTCAAAATTCCAAATTAATATTAGTCGTCTTACTTGTATTTCAGCCAGTTTTTCAGAATTCTTCCTACAACTTTTCCATCGGGGCGGACTGGCCGTCCACGGTGTCCATGAACCAGGGGCGACTGGTCATCGTGGGGGATCGCGATCTGGACGTGGAGAACGCGCGCTTGACATTCTCCGTCCTTCCGGCCGGCGTGGTGGAGCCGGTGGGGGTGCAACTCTGGCCGGACGACAACCCGCCCACCGACGGCCACTTCAACTACAGGGTCGAGCTCTACTACAGGCCCCAGGACGGGAAGGAATTGGAGGCAGGAAAACGCTACGAATTCAGCCTCGTCGCTAGTTCGAGACGATTAGCGGGCGAGACGAAAATTGGGGTGGAGGTTGTGTAGTTAAAATTAGTTAATTATTTTGATAATAAATAAAATTCATGAATTTCATACTATAAACTTAATTATTCATTGCTGTACTTTTTGTGCGAATGCCACTCCGAATATTCTGCACCAATTTTGCTCATCTTCGAACTCAATCCCTCATTTGCCCCGACTACGTTTTTCAAGTCTACATGACAAGTTTTACGAGCGTAATCGATGGCAATTGGCATTCATGACGAAACCCTGACTCGGGTTAAAAATTGTTGCTGGCCAAATTTGCATGAAAACTGCAGCCAGTATGGAATAATACCGTTTGATTGAAATATATGAATATTTTTCCTGACGAGTTGATAAATACATAATATATTTTTTTAGATGTAAAATTCAGAATATTATTCTGAATTTTTAAGACTAATTAGCACGTGGAAGATCGCTAAATAAATTCGTATGGTAATCAATACTGACTTAATAAATACGAGAACAGTTATTGGATCAGTTACATCTTCACACATTGTTAATTTATCAACCGTTCATTTTACTAAAGTTAGCACAGTTGGCTAAATATTTTGCATGCATACATTTTAAGCGAGTCATATCATATCATATCAAATCTTGATTTTTATACTATTTTTGCCAATAAAATAAAATGGATTTGGTAGAAAAATTAAAAATCGTGACAAGTAAACTATTTATAGTGTACATTGTGTTATTAGAATGGCTGCCAGATTGTGGCGGCGCATCATTGACGTCGAGGTCGTCCTCAGAAACGAGGCAGATTTCCGAACTGGTTTTGCCCGACTGGTTTCCCTTGAGCTTTGAGGGGCTGGAATTGGACCCAGCCCGGTATGAATACTGGCTCGGAATGGGGGTCGCCCTCCCCATCATTTCCGGAATGATCTGGTTCATCGCGGGTCCCACCATGGTACTCAATAATGTTCACCTAACCTCTAAATGACCTCTAAATGATTTCTAAATGACCTCTAAATGACCTCAGGTGATGATGACGTTCATCTTCTGCTGGAGTTTACTGCTTCCAGGACCCGAGGATGACCACGTGGGGGGAAGATCACTCCCGTTTTGGGGAAAATAGTTGGACAATGGAGGAATACAAAAATCAAGGTTTCGGGTGACATTGACAAGTGACATTAAGTGACATTAACCGGTTGTTGTCACTTGGCATTTTGTGGCATTAAGTGACAAGTGACATCAAGTCAGAAATTGGGGAAAGTGAGACAAAAGTTCATGAGATTCTTCATCCCAGCCAGTTTTGTTTAAGGCAAAATATTGTAATCAAAAATTTATTCTGTTTTCTGGTGAGCAATAAGAAGAGGAGTTTATTGCATAGCGTGTTAAACGCCGATATTCACTTAAATTTTAAAGTAATCTGAGTAAACAATGGAAATTGGGAGACGTTCTATAACATTAATCCAACATTTTACCGCGTCTGCAATGGTGGCATTGTCTTTTTGTAACCGATAATATATTAATAATCAGCCACGCCTGAGTCATGATAATGCACCCGTGCTGGCGTACTTCGTTAAGTGCACAAGAAATTGGGTCCAAGATGCTGATCGTCTCCAAAATAACAAACTCCAGTATAACAAAATAATTACTTATAATATCAGCAATTTGGTCATCAGATGATGCCCAACTGATACCCTGTAGATTGCTCCAACAGCTTCTTATCGTGATGCATTAAATTGATGCCTTTAAATTGAAATAAACACTTACAAATAAATTTACATTTCTTCGTATACATAAATACACAGGTACAAATTAACACAAACGCAACGCAATACAAATGAAACAATATTTAATTCTATTAATACAAGCTAAAGCTAAGGATAAGCCCTACCAATCTGATGTTGGCCCTCAATATAACTTAAAATTGAAATGCAATTTAATTGTCGCTTATTATTAGAAGCGATTAATTTGTAGCAAATTCTGCCTTAATCAAGACCGGCTGGGATGAAAAAAGTCATGATCCGCGCTGATTTCCCTCTCACTTTCCCCCAATTTATGACTTGATGTCACTTGTCACTTAATGCCACTTAATGTCACTTAATGTCAGTGTCATGACATTAAGCTCAAAAAGTGGCATTAACGAAACCTTGACAAAAATAAAAATTTAAACTTAAGGGTTTGGTTTGTTCAGACTGGAAATCAAGAGTACTTTAATTATGATTATTGAATATTTTGCATGGATTGAAGATATGATTTTAAAAATGTGCCATTTTTACTACTTTTTAAAAAATATTAAATTTGTACTAGTAGTACTAGTAGTTCACTAGTTCGTAGAAATGAGCAAATAATTTGTTTATTATTGTAAAAGTCGATAAAGTTCCAGGGTAATTTCGAGGGGTACTTTTTTGCATAATTTCTGCAGATTTGAATAAAAAACAAATAATTTTCAAAATTCCTTTTTTACATCATGTAAAAATAGCATCATCAGATACAAAATGACGAAACACCGCGTGACGAGTGGCGCCTTCAAGTCGCACAAATGTTTGTGGCGTCTCTTTCTCTGCGCGCATTTGGCGCTGCTCCTCTTCGCGAGTGGTTTCCTGGTGGGGGGTTTTCTCCTCCAATGGTCAGAGTCCTCGTCCGTGGGGATGTTCAAGCTGGGTGTGACGACGTCCTTGGTCCACCTGTGCTGGGGGGTTGCCGGCGGCCTCGCCTTCGCCGCCGTGATCGGCATTCTGGCGCAGACGGTGTGGAATCGACCCTGCGCTTGGATCCTGTACTGCACCACGTTGGGCGGCTTGGCCCTCGACCAGCTCTCCCTGGGCGGCTCCGCGCTCGGAAAGGCCTCCAACATGAAAACCGTCAACATCAACCTGCTCAAACAGATGGAATATTACGTCAAGGATCAGCCGTACAATGTCACGGTGAGAACAATAAGGTTACGCTAAAACTGACATGTTCAAACTCCAATATTCTACTCACTTGGAAATATTAGAGTTTTCAAAAAATCATGTATTCACATCAATATTAGATCCGATTTTAAATTTTATGTCATTACTTTAGATTAATTATCAAAAACTTTTCGGAAAGCTTAATTATGCAAATTAGTCTCCTCTTTGGCTTCCTCCGTGCACAACGTATCTCTCTCTCGCTCTGCATCTGGATCCTCTTCCATCTGGGTCGCGGGTGTGCCAGGGCAAGTAAAGTGTGTCCTAAAGGCTTTTCGCCACGTGAGCCTCGTCCACTCACACCCCCCACCTGCGTGCCTAGTGACACCCCCTGCCACACCCGTCCCAGCAACGACAAGCTGAGCCATCAGGCGAAGATGGATTCGCCGGACCCAGTGCACGGGAGGATCTACGCCTTGGAGGGACTCCCCAGTTGGGTTTTTGTTTGGTATATCGGGGTGGTGACCGTGGGGAGTGGTTGTTTGAAAAGTGGCGGAGGGGGTCGTGCATGACGGGGGGCGGCATGGTCAGGTCTACGGGGGTCCCATGACCTGATTGTGTTGTGATGGGGGAAGGGGCAAGTGGGGGTGTCGTCGGCCCCGGCTACGGCTACCATGGGGGACGTGGGCAAGATCCCGCGGTCCGTGGACAGCCCCCGCCCAACAACCTTCACCTGTCTACTTCCGCATGCAGACGCCACCCTCATTTGGATATCACCACCACCACGGAATCCGCCTATGTATCACTGCCATACATTTTCCTACCTGGTGTCCAGCAGTTATGGGCCGAATGGTGTATTGGGCCACATTCCCAATACATGTAGAGGTTTTCCGAGACCATCTCCGGTTTTCCCTCTACACCCATACTGAGATAAAATGACGGATACGTTCCATAGCTTTTCGCATCGATTTCATTGAATCAAATAAAATTAATTGTAAATGCAATTGTGGGTACAAGGACAAATGTACCACAACATTTTTTGAATTCTGTGCAACCACACCCCCTATAAAAATAAAGGAACAAAGTTCGGAAAAATGAGAAAGTCAATGTACATCGTGTAGAATAAGAGTTAGACCTATACTTGCATTTGCAATTTGACTTCCCCTTGAAATACGAACATTTTAATGCATCAAGAGTTTCAAAATTCGAAAATTGGCGGTTTTTTTACGTACACAGAAATCCTTAAAAAACGCATGGTACCACCCATTTACTTCGGACAACCCGATGCCAGATTTTTCTCCTTGGGAAGAGCTACATTTTCAGCTTTTGTTGCCCGAAGGGAATCGATGGTACCACGAGAAATTTGGGGTCAAAGTTTCTGAGGGAGGGGCTTATTTTGCAAGAGCCGTAACATACATACATACATAGTATGGCTGCTTGTGAAATACTACCCATAAAAATAATGATAAAGAATAAAGTTATTAAAGTAGCCTCAAATCGATCTAATTGTTAAAATTAAGCTTTTCTGAATTTATAATGGTGATATTCACTCAAAAATTAACGCTATAGGGCTTACCTACAGACTTATCAATTTTTCAGATAAGCAAACTTAGTTTATCTAAATCGCCCCAAATTTAAAACTTAAGCTTTTCTGAATTTATGATGGTGATATTCGCTCAAAAATTAATGCTTTGAGGCTTATCAATTAAGTTATCAATTTTTCAGATAAGCAAACTTAGTTTATCCATATCGCCCCAAATTTAAGACTTAAGCTTTTCTGAATTTATGATGGTGATATTCACTCAAAAATTAATGCTTTGAGGCTTATCAATTAAGTTATCAATTTTTCAGATAAGCAAACTTAGTTTATCCATATCGCCCCAAATTTAAAACTTAAGCTTTTATGAATTTATGATGGTGATATTCACTGAAAAATTAACGCTATAGGGCTTATCTCCAGACTTATCAATTTTTCAGATAAGCAAATTTAGTTTATCCAAATCGCCCCAAATATAAAACTCTTGAATTTATGATGACGATAATAGGAGGTATGGTGTATACTAGACACTGAACGGTAATTTCGGGTTACATATATAATAAAATGAGGCGCCTGGTTGGATGAAAAGTTTGCATGGAAAAAGTGAGACGAAGAGAAATGGATTTCATACGACCCTGACTCGAAATGATGATGGATACCCACCGCGAACCACTTTTCTCACTCTGTCTCACATTCCCATGCGAAATATGGAAAACGGTTTTGTGAAACACTTGACGTGGTATTCATCTACTGCTAATATCTATCTGAATGTTTTGTATGAAATGAAAATGATGATTGTAAAAGCTAATGCTACATCAATCTTGAATAAATACCTACCTACCTACCTACCTAATTATGCAAATTATGCAATTATGTAATCTGCCAGGACCAGCCAGAATAAAATTGCACACAAATTGATATGTGGAAAAATTGAGGTTCTCACAAATGTTGAGAACTTTGGGTACAGATATTTGACTTGACTCAACGCTCATAAAGTGTGCCCCATTTTGTGCTGAATATATTTTGACAAAAATTTAATTATGTACATAAATTAATTACTTAATCCAATAGGATGAGTCGAATATCAGTGAAGGAAGAGAAAGAGAAGCAGAATGGGATTCAATCCAGCAGGATTACAAGGTACGAACGATATATATACATTTTTGCAAATACTAGTATATTTGCCACATTTTTGCACGTTTGTATTTTTGTTAGTGTTGCGGCCTCTCGAACTACAAAGATTGGCAAGGGGTACGTTTTGGGAGGACGAGTTTGACGGTGCCACGGTCGTGCTGCCTCCCCAGCGAGAAGAAGAGTGACAAATACTGCAACGTCAACATCCTTCCGGAACACCCACGCGCCTCGAGCATCATTTACACGGATGGATGTCTCCAAAAGCTGGTCCGAGTTATGCACATTATGCTCCAAGCCGTCGGATTCTACTCAATTTTGCTCAGTTTGGTCCAATTCGGATTCGTCGGGGGTCTACGTACCTCTTAATTGCGAGATATATGTAAATTTACAAGTGATCTGTTTTTTGGAGGAAGACTTTTTGCAAACAATGTGAATCTGAGATATTTGGGAAATATAGTACATAAATTTGGTTGCAAATCATATTGGCTGCGTGCATATACTCTTAATTGTGAGATGTGAGTTCTTGCTATTTTTCATGCGACGAGATGGTGGCGTGGTTTGTTTGTTTGTTTGTTTAGCATTTATTCATGTGTTATTTCTCGATCAGTACATGAAATGACTGGTTTTCATCAAGTAACACGAAAAAATAGGAGAAGAAAGATTTAGTTAAATTAAGTCATAATACATACTAAAATACGTGACATTCAAAGCGTTATCGAACATTATTCCTTACAAAACTACTAATTATTATTGTATGCGGTTATTTATGTATCATTATAACGGTTTTTTATGACATGTTCTACCAAAATTGAACGAACATTTCCTGCAGTTTTTGGGTCAGAATCTAAGATTTGATCTATTGTAGCATGCAATTTTCTACATTCAATTTTGGCAATTTTCAGTTCATTTCTGTCAGATTTACCTTTCCAGAACGATTTGCTATAAAATTTTGTGAGTCGTGGATAATAGAATATAGCTAACAAGTTATTTGTTTTTGCTTGAATTTCCTTAAATGTAACTAAACTAGACGGACCCCAAATTGTTATACAATAATCCGTTATTGAGTTTACATAGGCATTGATGAGAACAGTTAACATATGTCGTGTTATATACCTTTTAAATCTATGAATCATTCCAATATTTACACACACCCGTTTCTTTACATTTTCAGCGTGATCTTTAAAACTAAAGTGTTCATCGATCCAAACCCCTAGGTATTTATAAGTATTCACTCTACGAATTTCGCTACCATTAATCATAATATTAGAGATGTTATTCACGTTCGTTTTACATTGTTTTTTTCTAATAATCATAAATTTTGTCTTCTCCCAGTTCATTGTCAGTCCTTTAACAATAAACCATTCATTTAGTTTAATTAAAATGGACGCCACCTTTGCATGAACATCCTTTGGGTTAGTTCCGCTGACGACAAAGGAAATATCGTCGGCAAAGATAGTGTAGTAACAGACTTTTAGAACTACATGAATATCTGATAAAAATAGAATAAACAAGTTTGGACCACACACAAAACCTTGGCCAATTCCCCGGTTAACTATGAAGGGTTTAGACATAAATTTACCATTTTTTATCAAATAAAATCGATCTCTTAAATAGTTGGAAATTAGAAGTAACAGTTTTCCTTGTATCAAAAATACATTACGCAACATTACCACTAGTAGGTTAATATTTAGTGAGTCAAATCCTTTCTTCAAATCAATGAATACAACGAAAACTAAATTATTTGGTACATCCAATTCATTAAAAATATTTTGCGAGAAACAAGTTAATGCCGTAGTACATGATCTCCCACTCCTAAATCCGTGTTGATTATCATCAAGAATCTTCAGTGACTCTACTTTTTTCATAAGTTTAGTTTTCTCTTCCGACCCCGTGGCAGGTCACCATCACCACCACAGCCAAGAACAAAGCCTTCCCATCAACCCGTGGAACGGACGAGGCGGACGTTTCCTTCGGATAGCGGTAATACTGGTCGTGCTTCTTAACAGCGTCTAGGACAATATTATTGGCAGTAATTGGCACATGAAAAAAACCTGTGATTAAATTCCTCGCTCAAATTTTACTTTGTAGAATCGGTCCCTTCGCCAAGAGGGTCGAGTAGGTCTTCTCGCCCAGTCGAAATTCCATTCTTTGCGGCTCACTGATCACGATTTCAAAGTTGGACACGGTTTTAAACTCGCAGTATATCGTCCCGTCCTTATAAGAGCTTTGAGGATCCAGCAAATTGACCTTCCTGACCTGGATGAGGAACAGGGGAAATTTCAAAATCCAAGCAGGGACTTATGTAACAGGTACATAGGTAGGAAATTATTTTACGGGGTTCAGTTTCCCTGTGGCATACGCCCACTGACGCAGCATGGTCTCAGGGCTCACGGATCTACAAATTATGATCAGTGTGTCCACCTAAATAAAGGAACGCTAAATAAGCGGGATCGAAATAAATAAATTTACCGTGTCGGATTCCGAACACTGGTCAAAATTACTCCTTTTTACCATTCCTGTCCCATCTTCCGAAATCCCGGCGGCCACCCATCTATCCCCCATCACCTCGGTGGCCTTCAATCTGAAATGGTACCTGGCTTCCGGGTTGCCTTGTCAGGTGGGAGTTTTTCTACGTGCAGCAGCGTGTGGCAGGTGGCACTCGTGACGCACGACTTGTTCGGCGACCCTGGCATCCCGAAGCATTGGTGATTCGTCTCATTGCAAGTTTTCACCATTTCCGGGATAGAGTCGATCTGAACGAGGACATAAATTGGCATCTCAAACGTTTTATTCTGCTCAAAACATTGTAATGCAGAAATTATGTGGGAAATACGTTGCCGCAGAAAATTACGATGCACATCGCGACGACGACGACGGAATAACTTGTGGCGTTCATATTTCGCCCGAATGAAGTCGAACTGGATGCACATTTCCTCGTCCTGACTGCATTTCAAAGTGGAATTTTTACATGAAATTCACTGATTGATTTAGTAATTTATGGACTTCAAATGGAGGCCCTGTATCCATTGACAATGTCAACTTGTTTTAGCTGATCTTCATAATTTCAATTTATAAATTAAAATCCGGAAATCTCGCTGGGATGAAATATTAAATATTGTACGCATTTGAACTGTTAACTGTTAAATTAACTAGTGTCACATTTCTCGTCAACTGAGCACTGTTCTCTAAAAAAAGGTCATTTTCCTCTCCAATTTCCCCTTCAAATTTTACTCACATACAAAATTTCTCTGCAGGGTGACTGCTTCCTCGACCAAAAATGTCGGCCCCACCACCACCGCCGCCGGCAGCAGCAGCCTCCACACCCACGTCCTTCAATCAGACGAGGATGGAGCTCCGCACGCTGATGGAACTCCGTGGGGCTGAGGGTTACGAAAAGGTGACGGAACTGGGCGGTGTGGCCACGTTGTGCAGCGACCTCTGCACCGACGTGACCACCGGCCTCAGCGGGGCAGCCGACGACCTCGCCAAACGACACGACACCTTCGGAGCCAACACTCTTCCCGAGAAGAAGTCCGTCTCCTTCCTCATGCTCTGCTGGGAGGCCATGCAAGACTTGACGCTCATCATCCTCATCATTTCCGCGGCCGTGTCACTGGCGCTCTACTTCGTGACGACGTACCTCCTCGAACACCCGGGTGGTGATGACAGCGAAGAGTCGCAGGAGTGGATCGACTCCGCCGCCATTTTTGCTTCCGTGGTCGTCGTCGTCTTCGTCTCAGCGGGGAACGATTACGTCAAGGAGAAGCAGTTTCGTGGTTTGCAGAATAAGATTGCGGCGGACCATAATTTTGCCGTGATTCGCGGCGGCGAAAGTATCCAGATTCCCGTCACAGATATCGTCGTGGGGGATATAGCGCAGGTGGGGGAAAAGTCGCATTTTTTCTGCCTCGCATTCAATATATAGCATTTCAACATTTCCTTTTAGCTTGGAAATATTTTCGCCGAGATTTGTTGAAAAAAAAATCAACCCAAAAATTGGATTATTTCAAAAATAAAATGAACTCTGTCAGTTCAAAAGCTGGTTCACGTTTCTCAAATCTCAAGTTTTTTGTACCATCTCAATCAAAGTTTGACCTTTAATAACTTTTGAACAATCTACCCAGTTCATTTTATTTTTCAAATAATCCAAACTTTTAGGTCGATTTTTTAATTCAGCGAACATATTTCCCAAGACATTTGGATTTAACTATTGGTTCGTTTTCAGATCAAGTATGGCGATCTTGTCCCCGCGGATGGGATTCTGATTGCGTCGAATGACCTGAAAATTGACGAGTCCTCGCTGACCGGGGAGTCCGACCATGTGAAAAAGACGGAGACGACGGACCCCATGATTTTGTCGGGTGAGAGAGAGCAATTTGCGAATTGGTTCGATTTTTCACTGAATTGATTTGAATTCCCAGGAACACATGTGATGGAAGGCAGCGGAAAATTCGTGGTGGTCGCGGTGGGTGTGAATTCGCAGACAGGCATCATTTTCGCCCTCCTCGGAGCCACGGGGGAAGAGAAGGAAACTCCAAAAGCCGAAAAACCCAAGGGTGGCGAACGTAATGGGAAAATGTTTCATATTTTTTTATATAAAATTTCGACCAATTTTGTTCAAATTTTGATTCTCCAGGCGATCTGCGCAAATCGATGGCTGATTTACGAAAATCGATCCGCAGTTCGTTAAAAATGGGGTCGAACAAGGACTTGGCGGTGAAAGAGGACGTTCCGGTGGCGTCGGATGATGGGAAATCCGTCCTGGCCAATAAATTGTCCAAGTTGGCCGTGCAGATTGGTTACATGGGTGCATCTTAAATAGTTCAAAACTTCCTCAATTTTCCTCCTCCAGAAATTAATCTCTAGTTTCTTGAGCAGGCATGCTTTTCGCCGCTGTGAGCTTCATCGTCCTCATGTTCCGCTTTTGCGTGGAGACGTACGCCATTCAGGAGGAACCCTTCAGACCCAGGTGAAAATTTACTAGTTTTATGATCTCGTGATACATTTCATTTTACAATTCCGTATTTTTGTCCCCAAAATTTATTTGCAAAATTGCGAGTCTAAATTTCCACCTTTTCGTTTGTACTTCGCCAATATGTCTCCAAAATCGCAAATCTCACCTCGCACCAAAGAGAGAAAAATTGAAACTGAAAAGATACCGAAATTTCTACAGAAAATTGCAACACCCAGCGTAGAACAATTAACGAGACTTAAAAATTGAGTGTGGAGTCGCCTTATGATTTGCACTAAATATTAATTTTGCGTCTCGCAGCCACGTCTCCGAGTGGGTGACCTTTTTCATCACGGCAATCACCATTCTGGTCGTGGCAGTCCCGGAAGGTCTGCCTCTCGCCGTGACGCTCTCTCTCGCCTACTCAGTTCGGGTATGTCACCTTATTTGCCCATCTCGTCACCCAATTGCCCGTGACCTCTGACCCCCTTTCCCCCAGAAAATGATGAAAGACAACAACCTCGTGCGACATTTGGACGCTTGTGAAACGATGGGAAATGCCACGACGATCTGTTCCGACAAGACGGGAACTTTAACGACGAATCGGTTCGTGTCCTCAAAATAAAATTAAAATGGAAATTTGTGACATATTCTTTCCGCTAAAATTCTTTTGCCAGCATGACGGTGGTGCAATCCTACGTGTGCGGCGAGCTGTATGTAACCACACCTCCAAAATTTGACTCTCTACCCGCCAACGTGGGCGAGGTTCTCGTCCAAGCGATCTCGTACAACACGGCCAGCACATCGCTCGTCATGGTGCGTGCAAAATTAGGGAATAAAACTAGGTCCACAAGTCTCATGGTTTCCTTTTCAGCCTGGAACGCAACCCGGGGAGCCGGTGACGCAGCTGGGGAACAAAACCGAGTGCGCCCTGCTGGGCTACGTGCAGGACATGGGTCAGAGCTACGCCGCTCTGAGGGAACAACTCCCCGAGGAAAAGTACACCATCGTCTATACCTTCAACTCAGTGCGCAAGTCCATGAGCACGGTCATCCCCAAACCAGGCGGCGCCGGTGGATTCCGCCTCTTCACGAAGGGAGCGTCGGAAATCGTGCTCCAAAAGTGGGTACAAAATTGGATAAAAAAAACGTTCATAATTTCATTTTTCATAATTTTGTGTGCAAAATTGGGAGATAAAGGGATCAAAAATCTTCCAAATTTTGTCATTTTCATAATTTTGCAAAAGTAGGTAGAAAATTAGAAGCAACAAGTATTTTTCATATTTTGACATGCACAAAAATCTTTTTTAAGAATAATTTTAGTTAGGTGCAAAATTGGGTTGGGAAATTGCGATAGGAAATCTGCAAAATTTTTCATTTTTCATAATTTTTCAGATGCACAAAAATCATGGGGCCGTCCGGATCTATTGACGCGTTTGGAAAAGAAGGGATCGATCGCGTCTACAAAGAAGTAATCGAGCCCATGGCGGCACAAGCTTTGCGGACAATCTGTGTGGCGTACAAGGACATTGACGGGACGCCGAACTGGGACAATGAGGACGCCATCGTGAAGGAGTTGACGTGCATTTGCATCGTGGGGATCGAAGACCCCGTTCGACCCGAGGTCCCCGACGCCATTCTGACCTGTCAACGGGCCGGGATCGTGGTGCGAATGGTGACGGGAGACAATGTCGCCACGGCGAGGTCGATCGCGCAAAAGTGTGGCATCATCGAGCCGGGCAGTGACCTCCTCGTCATTGAGGGCAAAGATTTCAACGCCCAGATTCGCGACGAGTCAGGCGAAGTGTCGCAAGCCTTGTTGGACAAGATTTGGCCCAGGTTGAGAGTCATGGCGAGATCAAGTCCCACGGATAAGTACACCCTCGTCAAGGGGATTATCGAGTCCAATGTATGCAAATTAGGGAAAATGGGTTATCTTTATCTAAATCTTGTCAGAAAGCTAAAAATCGGATGAAAAATTAGAAGTTTTCGCTAATTTTAAACTAATTTTTACCTCAGAAAGCACTAACTTATCGCGAATTTTAGCAATTTTTCGTAAATGTTGACCTTCAAAATTTTCCTCATGTCAAAATTGGCTTGCATACTCACGTGGGAAATTTTGGCGAAATTAAAAAATGTATTTTTTCCAATTTTTGTTTAACTCCAGTTTGAAAATAACCGACAAGTCGTCGCCGTGACGGGAGACGGAACGAATGACGGCCCAGCGTTAAAAAAGGCGGACGTTGGTTTCGCCATGGTGCGTGATTAGTAGATAATTGATAGGTTGATAACCTTGAGAAATGTGACCTCGTGACCTCTTGTATAAATATTTCTTGTTCAGGGCATCACTGGGACTGACGTGGCGAAGGAAGCGTCCGATATCATCTTAACCGACGATAACTTCACCTCCATCGTGAAGGCCGTCATGTGGGGCAGAAATGTGTACGATTCGATCGCTAAATTCCTCCAGTTTCAACTCACCGTGAACGTGGTCGCCGTCGTGGTCGCGTTTTTGGGGGCCTGTGCGATCAGCACGAGTCCCTTGAAGGTTGGAAAACATAAGAAATGCGAATAATTTTCAATTGGAAACCTTCCAAAATTTCTAATGGAAATTTCCAGGCGGTCCAAATGCTCTGGGTGAACTTGATTATGGACACTTTTGCCTCTTTGGCACTCGCGACGGAAATGCCGACGCCGGAATTGCTCTTGCGAAAACCGTACGGGCGGACGAAACCCTTGATTTCGCGAGTCATGCTAAAAAACATTCTGGGCGGATCGATTTACCAATTAATCGTCATTTTTACTCTGCTGTTTTGGGGTAAAATTAGGCGTTTGTTTTATTATAAAGGAAACATTTCTTGAGAATTTTATTTCAGAATTTTATAAACCACTAAACTAATTGATACATGGAAAACATTAATTATTTTTACGACACATTTCTGCAGAATTTTATTAGTTTTTTTTATTGGAAATTTGCATGCCAGGCGACTCATTGATGGATATCGACGACGGATCCTACGACAAAGTTCCGACGCCCCATTTGACCATTATTTTCAACACGTTCGTCATGATGACGCTGTTTAATGAAATTAACGCGAGGAAAATTCACGGACAGAGGAACGTTTTCAAGGGATTTTTCTCAAACCCCATGTTCTACGGGATTTGGACGCTCACATTCGCAGCACAAGTACAACTACTTAATTAATTAGTTTTGAGGCAAGTAATTAATTCTGTGCATTAATCAGGTGTTCATCGTGGTTATTGGTGGTCGCTGGTTTTTCGTGTACCCATTGACTGCGGAACAATGGTTGTGGTGTGTCGCGTTTGGGGTGGGAACCCTCTTCTGGTTTCAGATCGTGACCTCTTTCCCCACCAAATGGGTCCCAGATTTGATGAAGTAAGAGGGGGCAAATTATGACAAGTTTTCTGGAAATTTTTGATATTAAATGTTTTGGTTTTTAGGAAGAGATCGGCAAAGCCCAAGACTGGTGGGAAGGGTGACACCGGTCCGGTGCAGGATGTCAATTGGGTGCCAGGAATCACAGCGGTGCAATCGACGGTATTATGTTAATTGGATTTGTATCTTTCTTTATTACTATTTGTTCGTCAATTCATTTGTGTACATTCATACGTACAACAAGAGTCTACCATTGCATTAACAAACTTTCTCCTTAAAATTGTATTCCAATTAATTCAAAGATATTGGTTAATTCTTAGTACTTCGATTTTATTATCTATCGGATTTTATTATCTGCAGGATGACGGAGCAACGTTGCAACAAAAGCCGGCTTCCTCCATGGCTGTACCTCCCCCAGCGGCAGCTCCATCCTCAGAGCCGTCCCCACCCCCAAATGAGGATGGCACGGACGTCTCAATCGTCGAAATGGCTACGTCAAAGAAGAAGAAGCATCATTAAAATGATCGGAATTAAATTAATTTATCATAAAAAAATGTTGAATATTCACAAAATTCCAATAACAAATAACTGAATAATTATGATGTTGTAACCCCAGAACTATACAAGATAGATCCCTAAAACGGGCGGCTTAGGCGAAGCGAAGGGAAGTGCGATTAAAATACCTACTTGCGATAGCAACAAACCATAGCAATACTACCACGTGACCAGTGGTACCCTTATTCTTGAATATCGTGGTCATTTCTCAACCGATTTTGATTTTCTCAGAAGAAGTTAATTGAAAGCTAAAAATATTTAGAAACTTTTTGTCACAGTTCATTTTTGATTTAGCCCTTCAAATTTTTCATATGAAGCAATATCACTTTTTGGAGGGTGTTTTTTGAGAATATCTCAGGAATGGGGAGGGTTACAACCATGCCCAGTTGGAATCCAAAAGTAGAGGATCATAATTAACTCTCGGCACTTATTTCATAACAATCGGTTAAGAAATGACAAAGTTATGTCGTTTTGTCACTTTTGAAAGTTGTAGTAAATGCATACTTAGGTGTTTTTTATCATTAGATCACCATAGCTTCACCTAAGAAAAAGAATCCAACTTTTTCATGTACTCGCGAATCTAATGCAAATTTAAGGTGTAAAATACGATTCATTCGCGAACAAACAAATTCCAAATTTACAACAATAATTTGAATAATCATGATGTTATTTATTCCCAGATCCAAGTTCTTCATCTGTCTACTGCAAATTTGAGGAGAAAAATATGATCCTCATACAATATTCTGATTTGCATGCAACCTTGGCTCTATTTACGCTAAAAATTAGTTACGTTACACGAAAATCATGCCATCAACTGCAGTTCTTTGCTATTAGGTATCCATCCAAGATTAATATTATTATTCCATCTCAAATTTCCTCCTCCCTACCCGAAATGATAACATACACACATTAACTAACATACGTAACAACATTAACTCATCTCCACAAAAAAGTGATCTGTGTTGCAGAAGAATTCGTGTTCGAGTTACACGGCCGTCGTGGATGTGAGCATTTCCTGCCCGGGTAAAATCTCCAAAATCAAAGACAAACTTAACTTTTTGTACCAATATTGTGTTATTCTGTGGCAAAATATTATTATTCGCTCCCTACATACTTAATAGCAGTTAATTAGCGAATAAATAGACAATGACTGCGTGTGTGTAGTGTAATCGTTCGTTCGTTAATTATTTTTAGCCACAAGTTCCTCACACAACACGCCCAGTAAAAAAAAACTCTGTGTTCTCCAAGCTTTTTTATACGTAAAAAATTCAACCAAATTATTAATTGTCAGTCTTCATTAAATCTAGTGCAACAAGTATTTTCTAGTTTTTTTCTACTACCTGTGAAAATAAGCCTTACACTTTTCTACTTATCATCTTCGTCGGACGGAAATTGGGGGTATGGAATAATATGGATTAGTTTGTTGGTAATCATCATCCTTTTTTGTATTCCTGCTGGAACATGGGAATGAGAACGATTCGTTTCACACGCCCGTTATTAAAAACCAATCGATCTGATAAGCAAGGATAACGACAGAGCAGAACGGGACGGGGAAAATATGACCTGGCTGACTGGACACATGGAAAGACCACTTAAAAAAAGAGTTTTTATACTAGGAAATGATAATACTGATTAAAATAATAACGACGTGTTTTTATTACCTACTACTGAACAGTAAATACATAAATATGGTGGTTTTTGGGTGGTCATTCCTCGATGAACTGGTCAAATATTTTGTCCAGACAAAGACAACGCTTGTAAAAAAAGAAGCCAACATTTAACTGTTTAATCGATGAAGAACATATTGCAAGGGAACATTAAAGACAGGACGACATGCAAATGACAAGATAACTTGAATGACTGGAAAATTGTATGTCAGCAGTCATATAAAATTCACTCATAACATTTTCCTTAATCTCCCAACCAAACCAAACCACCAACTATTTTAATGAAGACATCATATTATTAGCGAGACGGACAGTAATTAATTCCAAGTTAAATTTAACTACATATAGTTTGTTAGTTGTCCATCCGTCTCGTCAATTTTTGACATTTTGGAGGTTGTGCGTTAAAAAGTAGTGCCTGGATTGCGATACATGTGAATACTGTGTAGTTAGTTAGTTAGCTAACTGCGCGTGATGTTAACCAGGACCAAGAAGATTTAACTACTTTTTTAAGAAGAAGAACATTCTGCCGACAAGTCGATCAGTCAACAACACAATCTTTCTTTACCTTTTATACTACGAAGATAAACTACGAGTCGATTTTTTAGACCAGATTTTCACTTAAACTTGTTGGTTCGTGTTCCTTTATACTTAAAATACTTGACTTATACTCGGACCGGAAGTGAGGTACACACCTTATAATACAAAATAAATCCTTCCCTGTTTCGCCTTAATAAGTAGAAAAACAACTAGTTTAAGTACATACGCGGGTAAATGCCTTGTGCTTATCGAGAAATTCAACTGACAAGAAGAGAGGAAAATTGAATACGAGGACGACGACGAATTTTTAACACTCAACACTTACAAAAGTGAGATTACTACAAAAATTCACAATTTATACTCATAATAATAAAGAAAAGAACCAAAAAGTGCTATAAATTAAATAACCAATTAATTAACAACTGCCTCCTCGCTAGTCTGAAAATTTGCAAAAGTGCAATTACTATTTTTTAGTATACAACTGCAATGGTAATAAATAATTCGTTAAATTTGTCATCTAATAAAACGTCTATGCAATCCACGAGGCCATTTTAACTACAAATGGAACAATGAACACCATTTATAATTAGAAACATTACAGGTCATCGCAGATTTTTATCTAACAACTTTTTTCCATCTCCTAAAATGTTGTGACCAGTGAAATTACAAATCCTGAACAAATAATAGTAATGTCATCCTTAAAAAAGTGCCTACTTCATCTCGTCGTCGTCGTCTTTGTCGCCATACTAAACTGACCCCACACTCATGATGGAAGAAGCGGACAAAACCGGCGAAAGTGATTTTTCTCCTGGTCAAACTAATCCCACTGTTTCACTCCTGCCATTACCAACACCGTTTGGGGACCATTTATCGTCAAAAAAGAACAAGAAACGTCGCGGATTCACGGCACGATTTTCGTCATCGTCACGGTCGAAATCTTCCTCTTCTAAGTCACCCTCCTCCAGCTCAGTGTCAACAACAACGTCCCCACTGCTCGTCACACCAAGTCCGATCGTCGCAGCGGAAATGGAGGGGTCATCAACCTGTAAAAAGACTTCCCCTGGCACGACACCTCCCTTGGCGGTGGAGGAAAGCTCGGGATCCTCAGGGGACGATGATTCCGGTCGTGGTGGCGAAAATAAAGACGTCCCTGGACAAGATTTCCGCCTCAAGAGGAAGGTTTCCGTTAATTCGAACAAGGATAAAAACATGGTAAGTTATTTAATCGATCTCGACTACTACTTTTTGTCCCATGCATTTTTTCATCGTCTATGTACGTCGTCATCGATTATACATAAAGTGAACGAGTTATGTACCGTGCGGGTGGAGCTTAAACCTACGGCCTCCTGAAGTACCTTGTGCTGAGACTATGGTTTCTCGTGAGTTTAGCTCCATTCGCACAGCACATAACTAACTCACTTCAAGTTTAGTTCGTTAATAATTACATATGCACGTCACACATTGTCACAAAAAAGTGACAAGAATTTTGCTATCAGGTCGTAACGAAGGTTCCAATTACTACACAAAATCCTTCCCGTTCCAAAAACCTCGCTTGGTTATAGATATTTCGTTGTCTTGTCTTTCTTTAATCTGCTCTTGAAATATGTAGCAAAGTGTCTAATTTGCATAGGAAGAGTTAACCAGTACACAATCCTGCTCGTGATACATAATTGGTCGAGATAAAACTCATTGGTGGAGATTATTATGTGGATTTTAATGAGTTGAACAATTTTTAGTGTGGCCATTAGAGCGATAACCAACATCCATTAGGAGAGACGATTATTGTCAGCCCTTTTGCCAGGAGTGGTAGCGACGAGACAATTAAGGCAATTAAAATTAGACCAAACAAACAATTAAGTGCTGTATGTGCAGTCAGGAGAGAAGAATGGATTGAATCTATATTATAATTTCGAAAAGTCCGTCCCGTGAAATTTTCCGTGACATTCCTGCATTCTGATTGGCTGTTGGTTTTCCTGCTCCACCAATCACGGAACGGATACGAATTATGATTATGATTATGATTATAATTATGATTATGATTATGATTATGATTATAATTATGATTACGATTATAATAATGATTATGATTATGATTATAATTATGATTATGATTATAATTATGATTATGATTATAATTATGATTATGATTATGATTATAATTATGATTATAATTATGATTATGATTATAATTATGATTACGATTATAATAATGATTATGATTATGATTATAATTATGATTATGATTATGATTATAATTATGATTATGATTATGATTATAATTATCATTATAATTATGATTATGATTATAATTATGATTACGATTATAATAATGATTATGATTATAATTATGATTATGATTATGATTATAATTATGATTATGATTATGATTATAATTATGATCATGATTATAATTACGATTATAATTATGATCATGATTATGATTATAATTATTATTATAATTATGATTATGATTATAATTATGATTATGATTATGATTATAATTATGATTATGATTATGATTATAATTATGATTATGATTATGATTATGATTATAAATAATTATGATGATAATTATGATTATGATTATTATTATGATTATGATTATGATTATAATTATGATTACGATTATAATAATGATTATGATTATGATTATAATTATGATTATGATTATAATTATGATTATGATTATAATTATGATTATGATTATGATTATGATTATAATAATGATTATGATTATGATTATAATAATGATTATGATTATGATTATAAATAATTATGATCATGATTATGATTATGATTATAATTATGATTATGATTATGATTATGATTATGATTATAATTATGATTATGATTATAATTATGATTATAATTACGATTAGAACTTAAAAAAACTTCCTTAGCAACATAAAAAAATTCCTTAGCAACACAAAAAAGTTTCCTTAGCAACATAAAAAAATTTCCTTAGCAACGTTAAAAAATTACCTTAGCAACATAACAAATTTCCCTATCAACGTTAAAAAATTTCCTTACCAACTTAAAAGAATTTCCTTAGCAACATAAAAAAATTCCTTAGCAACATAAAAAAATGTCCTTAACAACATAAAATAAATTCCCTAGCAACGTTAAAAAATTTCCTTAGCAACATGCAAAAATTACCTTAGCAACATAAAAAAAATTCCTTGGCAACATAAAAAAATTTCCATATCAACATAAAAAAATTTCCTTACCAACGTTAAAAAATTTCCTTAGCAACGTTAAAAAATGTCCTTAGCAACATAAAAAATTTCCTTGGCAACATAAAAAATTTCCTTGGCAACAAAAAATTTCCCTAGCAACGGTAAAAAATTTCCTTACCAACTTAAAAGAATTTCCTTAGCAACGTTAAAAAATTTCCCTAGCAACGTTAAAAATTTCCTCGGCAACATAAAAAAATTTCCTTAGCAACGTTAAATAATTTCCCTAGCAACGTTAAAAAAATTCCATAGCGACAAAAAAATTTCCTTACCAGCATAAAAAAATTTCCTCAGCAACATAAAAAAATTTCCTTAGCAACATAAAAAATTTCCTTGGCAACATAAAAAATTTCCTTGGCAACAAAAAATTTCCCTAGCAACGGTAAAAAATTTCCTTACCAACTTAAAAGAATTTCCTTAGCAACGTTAAAAAATTTCCCTAGCAACGTTAAAAATTTCCTCGGCAACATAAAAAAATTTCCTTAGCAACGTTAAATAATTTCCCTAGCAACGTTAAAAAAATTCCATAGCGACAAAAAAATTTCCTTACCAGCATAAAAAAATTTCCTCAGCAACATAAAAAAATTTCCTTAGCAACATAAAAAAATTTCCCTAGCAACGTTAAAAAAATTCCCCAGCAACATAAAAAATCATCCTCAACAACTACAAGAAAATTGCTTAGCAAGTTGACAAAATTCCTTTGCAGCGTTAAAAAGTTTCATGTGGCCCGTCTTTAGGACGGGCTTATAGGCTAGTGTCAGATAAGATGTTATGTTCAGCAGGTAGTTTCCGTCACAAGGTAGCAGACTTGTAGGTAGGGTTGTCAATATGTCATGTCAAGGAGTAAATGTCATGTCATGTCGTAAGTGTCAATGTCATGTCATAAATGTCCGTAAATGTCAGTAAATGTCATAGTGGCGAAATATATGACATTTATGACATATATGACGGACAAATTGGACATTTATGACATATATGACAAATAATGTAAATAAATCGCCAGACTGCTTGTGAATGTAATCTGTTGACTATAGACAGCAATTCGCTTTCCTCCTGATCCGTAGACAACAGATTGTTGTCCAGAATAATATTTCTCCGGTATATCTTAAATTTAATAAATTCATTCAAGAGATAGGGAGATATTTATTTACATAAATTACATATGCACTAATTTTACTAATTGTAAGTTGAGGTAAAAAGTTATGGAGAAACAGAGCCAACCGAATATTACTCTGAAAATATTGACATGCTGCTTCATCCCTGACTTTAGGTACAATTTTCAATCCCGTCATTAAAATTCTCTTGATTTGGAATTTGAATTTAAATTTTCGTCTCAACTTTCCCTTCCTCCGTTTATTCCAATTGACGGTGTCCGTACCAAATAGGTAAGCTTCGGCAGCTAGATTTTTGATTTTCGAGTTTCCATCAAAAATAGTTCATATGGCATGAAATTAGTGTTATAGAGTAAAAGTTTTGAAAAAAAGTTTCTCCAACCATCCGCTATGGCCATTTTTGTGAGTTTTGGAAGGGGTTCGTAGTACAGAGATGCTTTCGTCAGTTTTTGAGTTAGGAAGCTGAAATTTCGGATTCTACACCACCTTGAGTGTCTCTTGGCGGCATTTTTCGGCGTTAAGGTCTCATGTCGAAAATGACCTTAAAAACGGTCACTTTTCCCCATCTTGATTTTCCCATGTTGTGGCAAGTACAATGTCAAGTCTCACATAGCCCCATGAATGAGGCATCGTTGGAAAGGTCTCGGCGGGAGGACTAAGAATATATATACTTTTTGGGGTCTGGGACCACCCCCAGATTTTCTACAAATCAAAGAATGTTGCGAGTTTTGGTGTACAAACTTTAACACAGCAGTAGATTGAGAGCTTATATAGCAAAATACCGGCGAAAACTCAATAATACTCATCGCCCTCTAAAACATCAGGGAAAAGTGACCGTTTTTAAGGTCATTTTCGACATGAGACTTTAACGCCGAAAAATGCCGCCAAGAGACACTCAAGGTGGTGTAGAATCCGAAATTTCAGCTTCCTAACTCAAAAACTGACGAAAGCATCTCTGTACTACGAACCCCTTCCAAAACTCACAAAAATGGCCATAGCGGATGGTTGGAGAAACTTTTTTTCAAAACTTTTACTCTATAACACTAATTTCAAGCCATATGAACTATTTTTGATGGAAACTCGAAAATCAAAAATCTAGCTGCCGAAGCTTACCTATTTGGCACGGACACCGTCAATTACGATTTTGCAACCTGGTCATCTCCGTTCGTTTTTTACAAAATTAAGATTTATTGCATCTGAGTCAATAATTTTTTGGTTTTCACAGTATGAGTTTATAATTTTGATTTTTTCTTCAACTTTACATGAGAAATAACATTGGCAAAATATAGCAACTACTTAAAAGTTAAATATTTCTCATGAAGAAAAATCGAGATTTTAATCTCCTAATTTTATAAACCTAAAAATTATCGACTTTTAGAAGCAATAAAATCTTAATTTTATTGGCACGGAGTTAACCAGGTTTCAGAATTGCAATTTGAAGACATGGAAGAAGAGAAAATTGAGACAAATTCGAATTCAAAGCCCGATTAATAAGCGTTAAGCTCGTCGATGGGATATTTGACTTCGTCAATATCAATCATCTCTACAGGCTTATCATTTGTTCTTCTATGACTTTATGTATGTCGCACGAAGCCAGCCAATATTGTCGCCAAACTCTACTTATTAGAATAACTAACTATTAATAATTTCAATATGAGCGAAAGCGCACAATTTGTCAAACTTCAGGTCTTTGAAAGAAAATATTTGAACATAAAGAAATAATTTAGAGTTGATTCGTATGATAAAAACGGTTGGGTAGAAAGAAAGGCAGCAAATATTTCTGCTATCGTGGTTTCACCTATGCTTCTAGAGGGCAGTTTTTTGTAAATGTCATAAATGTCCAAAATGTCCATGCCAATGTGTCATG